TATCTTGAGACCCCTTGGGATTGAACCATTCTTTTATAAAAAGAAATCTTATTTAAGATTTTTAAACAATATCAGAGAAAAGCAGATATTGTGTGTGTGTGTGTGTGTGTGTGTGTGTATTTTTTACTTTTTCAGGAATGGGTGGGTAGTGTTAATCATTTAAGTCATTATTTGGAGTTTGGAGTTAAGGATGCATGCATGGGCTTCCCTGGTGGCTCAGACGGTAAAGCGTCTGCCTGCAATGTGGGAGACCCAGGTTCGATCCCTGGGTTGGGAAGATCCCCTGGAGAAGGAAATGGCAACCCACTCCAGTACTCTTGCCTGGAAAATTCCATAGACTGAGGAGCCTGGTAGGCTACAGTCCATGGGGTCGCAAAGAGTCGGACACGACTGAGCGACTTCACTCACTCACTCAAGGATGCAAGCATACTTATATATTTAATATATATTTGTGTCTATGTGCTAGAGTAGTAGTTATCCAACAGGTTTTCAGAAGTGGCAGAAGAAAGTTTTCGTTATTAAATTAATTAACCTAAACATATTTAATATTGATAACTTGAAAAGTATAGTAATAAAATTTCAGCTTTTAGATCTCTGTTTATATCAAAAGCAGTACTACTGAGAGCGTTTACTTGAATTTAATGTATAGAATAAATATATATATATAATCACCCATTACTTTTTCACCTAGTAATTATATGTGAATATACTCAGTAAATCTTTAATGGCAGTGTATTATGCACTTGAGCCTAAGGAAGTGGTTTTACTTTAAAGTATATTATTCAACCTATCAACAAATGTGTTTGCTTAGGTTTCAGTAAGAAGCAGCAGAATCTAGTTGTTATTGGTTGTATTTTTTTCCCAAAAGAAAAATAGTGATTGAGAGTTAAAGCAAATTTCATTTCTATGATTTATCCTCCAAAGCTGTTAGAATGTTAACTCTCTTATAGTAGCTACAGAGAATTGGTACAAATACTAAAAATCTCAAGAGTTTTTCTTTGACATTAGGTGAGAGCTCCACCTTGTGATCTTTGAGCATATTTCTTAAAAATTAATAACCTACATACAGTAGGCCTGAAATGTTGTGGTGAGTTTGACTATTAAACTTGCACTTTTATTTGAGCTTTATGTATTCTTGCAATTTCTGGATTCCCAATTTAGGTCAAATGGCATTAAGTACATTTAAAGACTGTGAATTTTTTAATGAAAATCTTTGAGGGAGGCAAATTGTACTTATATATAGCAATACACATTTAAAATAAAAAGGGAAAAATTCTAAGTTCTTCCTGCAGATAAAGTTTATATTTTTGAAAGAAAAGTAAAAGCTCAGGATACATGGAGTTTAATATTATGTTTAATAGTAAGTGGCAGTAGAGGTAGGTGCTTTCTCTTAGAGATAAATATATTTTCACATTTATTGTTACAGGTAGTGCTATAAGGGCAAGGATCATTGATCCCCTGTTCATCACTGTGCGCCTAGTGATCACCACTACATTTGACACATGGTAGATACTTTTCCTTGGATGGATGGATTTTTTTAATATTTAGAAACTTTAAAAAGCAGGTGTTTCACGGGGGTAGAGAGTTGGCTAGTTAATGGTTTTTTCTAAACCTATAAGACCCTGGGAAAATGCTTCTTTTTAAAATACAGATACTTTGTCTAGGAGATTTACATCTTTATAAATTCTGTTTTTCTTTTGTGTTTGCTTTGGTTTCTAATTACCAAATATGTGTCAGTATCGCCCTACTTTGAGCAAAATAATTTGACCTGGCAAGACTTCTTATACACTAGAAACTAATTTTATGTTATTTAGAGGAATATAGTATATCATACAATACCTGTTTTATTTAGTGAAGTGAAAGTGTTAGTCGCTAAGCTGTGGTCTGACTCTTTGCGATCCCATGTACAGTAGCCCACCAAGGCTCCTCTGTCCTTGGGATTTGCCAGGCCAGAATACTGGAGTGGGTAGCCATTCCCTTCTTGAGGGGATCTTCTGACCCAGGGATGGAACCTGGGTCTCCTGCATTGCGGGCAGATTCTTTGCCATCTGAGCCACCAGGGAAGCCCGTTTTATTTAGTGCTGTCTGCTTTTCAGAGCTGATTCATTCTTTATGTCCCTTGGGAGCATACATTTATGAACTGTCTTTAAAGTCTGCTTAAAAACTGTGTATTAATATTTAGGGAATGCACGAAGTTTGGTTTTATAAAGCGCTCAGACGAAGGGGTGGGGGCAGCTAGGGAGACAGACACAGCAAGTCTTTATTTCCGTTTTGCCATCTAGATGATGTGTTGATTAGAACTGATTAACTCTATACCTCTCCAACTTACTAAATAAAAATCAAAATAGTTTTACTTTTTGTGTGTGTGTGAATAATATTTTATTTAGTCATTTGTTTACAACTGAAACTCTGGGAATTCAAAATTAACGTCCTTGCCCGTGAGCTTCTTATAGACACCAGAAAATGTTTCAACCTTGTGCTCCACGTTGTTCTGCTGAGCCTTGTCCAAGTGGACCTTTATGAGTCGGCTGCTGTCCAGCTTCACGCGGATCCTCTTGCCCACGATCTCACTGGGGAAAACCAAGTCCTCCAGGATGGCGTCGTGCACGGTGGTCAGAGTGCGGCTCCTGGGACGTTTCTGCTTATTTTTCGTACGGCTTTTTCGAGTTGTCTTAGGCAGAATTCTCCTCTGGGCAATGAAGACGACGTGCTTCCCGCTGAACTTCTTCTCCAGCTCGCGCACCAGGCGCACCTGGATTTTCTGGAAAGACTTAAGCTGCGGGACGGGGACGAAGATGATGATAGCTTTCCGGCCACCGCCAACTTCGATCTCCTTGGCAGCCGTGATGTTCAGCTCCCGCAGCTGTGCCTTGAGGTTCGAGTTCATCTCCAGCTCCAGCAGGGCCTGGGAGATGCCCGACTCGAACTCGTCCGGCTTCTCGCCGTTGGGCTTGACGATCTTGGCGCTGGAGCTGAACATGGCCAAAGGTTCTTGCCGCTGCCGACTCGAGCAGGCCTAGGAAGACAGTTTTCCTTTTTAAAAATAGTTTTCTTTCTAAAATAAGTTGGGGGCTGCCCTGGTGGCTCAGTCAGTGGTAAAGAATCCACCTACTATTGCAGGAGACATGGGTTCAATCCTTGATGTGGGAAGATCCCATATGACACAGAGCAACTAAGCCCATCTGCCACAATTACTGAGCCTGCTCTCTAGAGCCCGCTTGCTGCAAATACTGAAGTCCACCTGCCTAGAGCCGGTGCTCTGTAACAAGAGAAGCTACTGCAGTGAGAAGAAGCTCCTGCACTGCAAGTAGAGAAGAAAGCCATGCATCAGTGAAGACCCAGCACAGCTCAAAATAAATAAATAAGTAATAATATAGGTTGGGATTTTTAGGAGGCTGGAGTGTATCCTATATGTGATGACAAGTCTCAACTCTGATATACTACTTATATAGTTCCTTAGGTTACAATAAAAAATAAAACCAGATTAACAAGTAGTGGTCTTGAAGGGTAACAATCTTGGGATCATCATTTAGTGTGAGAAGACCATTCTACCAGTCATACCTAATAAAGATTTTACAATATGAGTATTCTTCAGAGAAAAAGAAAACTCAAAGTGGTGGTATAGACAACCGTTGATTAGGGTCTGTTTTGTGTATTACTGATCCTTGTTTCTCCTCTTCATTATTCTGCTGTTCATAGTAGCTTAATTAGAGTGAGCAAGGAAATGCAGTGTTTTGAATGTTGTTATATCAATTACATATTAGTAGCCATTTATGATGTGTTTTAGAGATTTAAAATTAATGGAAAAATTGATCAGTTTCCATTTAGAAGATCATTCATGAGAAGAACTCATCACTATGTGGTATTTGAAGATTTATTAATTAATTGGATATGTTTAGTCTTTGGGTGGCCACCAAGTATGATTCGCTTGGAAATAAAAGCATAAAGTTTTAAAACAAAAGTTATACATAAGATTAAGAGCTTCAGACCCAGCCTATTTTCTCTGTTATAGGCTTGTCATTTGCTCTTTTAGACTACCCTCCTGTTGAGGAATTGCATCTTCTTATGGCCAGGCTTAGTTTGGTCACAAATGCATTCATCTGTTGTTCATATGACATTACTGGTGTTAAGTTCCTTGAAGGAAAAGATCAATCTGGGCTAACATTTTTTCCGTTTTCCTGTTAAATGCAGGTGGTATTATCATGAAGCAGTTAGTTATTAAAAAAAACAGGCTTTGGATTGCTATTTTTCTGTGATAGAATAATGTTTTTAAAATGTTTCAAAATTGTATCTTAGATTTTTAAAATTAGCTCCTTTTAACTATACATCATAAGCAAAAGCTAGAGAATTCTTAGGCATTTTGTATTATGGTTTAAACTTCTCAGAAGGATTTTACGATGAGTAAAAGTCACATTCTGTTTCTAGTTAGGGCATCTATCTTTTTTTTTTCTTTTTAGTTCTACCACTTTATTGCTACCAACCCGTCTCCCTCCACCCTCGTGCACACATGCTCAGTCATGTAATCCCATGGACTTCAGCCCTCCAGGCTCCTCTGTCCATGGACTTTTCCAGGCAAGAATACTGGAGTGGGTTGCCATTTCCTTCTTCAGGCGTCTATCTTTTTTAAGCCATGCTAGAGAATTATAACAAATTCTAAAAAATAATTGTAATAGAAGCTTTTTTCTTTGTATTTGTTGTTACTTTTGTGGGGCTGCAACAGTTGTAACAAATCCATATCTAGAAAAAGCAGTCAAATGCAAAGGATAGAAATCCTTATTTACTAAAACACTTTAGCAGACACTTGGAAATTTAGTTTTTGGGTAGATACCCTTCCCAACATTTTTGGTGTGTTTATAATAAATATGGCATTTCTTCTCCCCACCCCCTATCATTTTTAAAGGAATTGTCTGCCTTAGAAGAAAGAAGCAAACCATCATTTTACCCACATAAATATATGAATACATTTCTGACATTGGGGCGTTACAGAAGATGATAAAGAAATGATAGCAGCTCCAGAAATACCAACTGATTTTAATCTACTTCAGTAAGTATATTATGATAATTTCTAAATACTTGTTTTTTTCCACAAAATGGGAACTGTCTTAACTTCAGTTAAAGTTACTTCTGCTTGAGAAGATACAGTGTTTCAGAATAAGATAGCATGCATACTTTTAAATAGTTTATACCAATGCTTACTGGGCTCTGTAATAGTAATTCCATGCCTTTTTTTGTAGTGTGCTTATTTTGTAATTTAGATACTGGAAAATTTATTATTTTTGCTGTTTAGTTCTTCGAGTCCATACTTGGTTTTACAATAACAACTGTTTTGAAGGGAGTGTCATGAAATTCTTAAAATGTTACGTGTCCTCATTAGTAAGGAATATATACCATGCGATAGTATTTAGGATGTAATGTCAGATTGTCAGATTTCTTTTTAAGATCAAGTGACAGACTGAAACAGATGTAGGAGGTTAGGCCATGCTCTCCTTTTTTTCCCCAGAAACAAATTAGATGCTCATTGGTTCATAAAGTGATTTTCAACATAGGTATTTTCTTTACCTTTGTCTTAAAAGCTACCTATATGCCTTCTTCAACTTTTATTCTCATTACTCTTTAGTGTTTCATGTAGGAAACAAATATGTTAATACAGTAGAGATAATTTTAAAAGTTTTTGTTATAGAGTATTGACTATTAGAATATCTCAAGTAATTAGGACCTGAAATAGGATAATCAGTTCAGTTCAGTTGCTCAGTCGTGTCTGACTCTTTGCAACTCCATAGACTACAGCATTCACCAACTCCCAGAGCTTGCTCAAACTCATGTCCATCGAGTTGGTGATGCCATCCAACCATGCCATCCTCTGTCGCCCCCTTCTCCTGCCTTCAATCTTGCCCAGCATCAGAGTCTTTTCCAGTGAGTCAGTTTTTCGCATCAGGTGGAAATAGGATAATAGATAAGAGGAAATTGCTGTTATGGAGGTAAACTAGACAGTATTTGATTGGGTGTGTGAGGTTGGGGCAGGGTAAAGAGAAATGAGTGGAAGAGCCATTCCTGTGACAGATGACTAATTGAAGTTTCAGGCCACTAAAAGGTTAACCCAGTGTACTCTGTGAACACAGTAGCATGTAATTTCACCTAGGATAGATTTTTGTTGTTGGTTTGATCTTAAAGGGAAGCCAGAGAGAAAGACTCAGAAGAATATTTATTCTCTGGTTTAGGATTTTTTTAAGGCTGTCACCTTATTACTCCAGTTTTCTTCAGAAGGTTTTCCAGTTAGTAATTAAACCTGTAGTGGCTCATTCTTTTAGTTGGGATAGCCTGGAGATGAGAATTAAGAGTGTGATTGAGCCATTGATTACTCTTCGGTCATTGGAATATTGGCAAAGACTAGTGATTGCTGACTTAGGGCATTTGCTGAGCTTTCTAAGGGAGCTAGTATCCCACAGATGTCTTGGGGAAGAAAAAAGTATTACTTACACACCAAGATGTTTAAAAACATTAAAAATTTTTTTTTGTTAAGCCATTTAGGCATGTGGGAAGATTATTGATGACAACAGTCTTAACATGTAAGAGGTGTGAGTTTCAGGGTTAATATTAAGTAGTCATTCTGGTTTTAGTGCATTAACTATGGGAAATGGTGTTTATTACAGGCTGTTTTCCTCGCAGCATTGTAGGACATAGTTAGGATTGCCAGTATCTTCAATACATTGCTTACATAACTTTGTAGGTAAGTGCTATAAATAGTAATTTTTTACCCCTGCTAGCATCTTAGCCATTATTTTACATTTATAAAAAGTATTCCTAACTCACAGCCTCTGGACAACTGGTTATTATAGCAATAAAAGTGGAAATAGAAGAAATTTAGAGAAGACTAGCCTTTCACTTGGATTCTATTTATTTTAAAAACAAAATGGATAATAGTTTTACACATTTAAAATGGTACAACTTTTATCTTTTATGTGTTTTTCAATTCTAAAAGCCTTTGTGAGTGACCCAAATACCAAGTATGCCTTGCTTTAAGCATTTAAGGGTGGGTATGTTACTACTATTTAGATAGATGGACCCAGTTTTACATATATAGGAAGCATCACCCATGTATATTTAAATTGATTTACTTCCATTATCCCTTGGGCTTCCCTCGAAGCTAAGTCGGTAAAGAGTCTGCCTGCAATGCAGGAGACCTGGCTTCCATCCCTGGGTCAGGAAGATCCCCTGGAGAAGGAAGTGGCAACCCACTCCAGTATTCTTGCCTGGAGAATCCCATGGACCAGAGGAGCCTGGCAGACTACAGTCTATGGGGTCACAAGAGTGACACAGCTGAGCCAAGCACATACGCACACTTCCATCACACCCTAGAAAATACAGATTATACACAACACCCCTTCTACTCCAAAATGAGGGGCAAAATGAGAACTGTAAATTGGCGTCTTAGAGATTAAAGAGACTTCAGAGATTTCCTTTTTTCATGCATAAATATTATTTGTAGATGTGAAGATTGAGAGGTTGTCAGTTGTTCAGGGTCACACAGTTTCCTAGTACTGTATTAACTAGAAACAGTTCTCTCGACTAGCTCACTACCTTTTTACTTTATAAAAGATTTTGATCAGTTAGCATACTTCCCTACTCCTTTTCAAATGATTTAGTTTGTAAAAATGTTTATGTATAATCTTTCAGAAATACATGTTACACTTAGATTTATAAATATTTTGGGATGATGTAGGAAAGGTCATAAGAGCCTTAATATTGCTAAAATTACCTAGTAAAAATTATCTCATATGTAGTGCTAAAATACAATTTTACCTGAGTACCATGATCTCTGAATCAGAAATGAAACCAGCCATTCTAATAGAACAGCACAGTTCCTAGAGTTAAAGTTTGAGAGCCTCTGTTTTCGTTTTTATACTCTGGTTAAAAGTTAACAAGATAAATGTTTAGACATTTGTGTATTAGATTAATGTTTTTGTGATATATAATTTTATGTTTGGTAATATGCTATGATATGATACTTTGGAAAAGCATCTTAATTACATTTAATGCTAATGTAGTTTTGTAATGAGTTAGCCTTTCTTTTAGAAAATATGGCAAAATTTAGAAACTGCATTTATATTTCTAAGACAGCTTTTAAATAATTGCTTATATTTTTGTCGTAGGGAGTCAGAAACACACTTTTCTTCTGACACAGATTTTGAAGACATTGAAGGAAAAAACCAAAAGCAAGGCAAAGGAAAAGTATGTACAGAATATGTGTCTTTAATTTGGTTCTTAAGATCATAATTACACATATGAATATATGTATGTGTGTGTATATATGTATTTTTAGTTATGTCTTAGATGTTGTTTTCTTGTAAAAATGCTTTTTTCTACTGATAAGTATGGTAAACCTTTGAATACATGTGGTTTCTTTGACTTCTAGATCAAAATACCTTTTGATTCTCTACTTCTACTACTATAAAGTTGGAATTACTAAGTCATTATTTCCAGTAGTTTATAAAGCATTGTATGCCAAGCAAAATACGATATTCTATTGGTTTTATTTTTATTGACACGAGTAGTCCAATATAAAGCAAATTGGTAAATTTCTTTTTCTAAAGCACCCTAAAAATGTAACCTACGAGGTTTGCTATTGACAATGACTCTTTATGAATAATGTGAAAAATGAAAATGAACAAAGTGAAGTTCTGAGTCAATAGAATGCAAGTTTAGAGTATGAGTGGATAGCCTGAGAGACGTGGATAACTTAGTGAATGGTTAAATTATTTTGGAAAGTACCTTCGACTCTGTGCATGTATAAATACGTTGTGCAAAAGATGACTCTTTTTGTTCAGCATTTTCTTTGCCAAAATGAGTTTTGGATTTATATTTTCTCATGACACATTTACTTAAAAATGTCTAAATAATGCTGACATGTATGATGAACAGCATAAAAATTTCTCATTTTAAATATGTAAACATTTTGATGAACATACACACATATATAAACATGCACGTAGAATTTTACTTAAATGGAATCAAACTATGCAAACTGTTTCATTTGCTTTTAAAACTTAATGGTATGTTGTCATAAGCTTTCCGATCAGTGAATTTTTCCTCTCTGTAATTTTTGATGGTGTCATAGTATCACATTTTTGAAAAAAAATTTATTTATTTGACTGCACAAGGTCTCAGTTGTGGCATGTGGGATCTAGCTCCCTAACCAGGGATCAAACCTGGGTCCCCTGCATTGGGAGCACAGAGTCCCAACCACTGGACCACCAGGGAAGTCCCATAGTATCATATTTTATATATGGAACATAATTTATTTAACTAGTCCTTGGAATATCTTTTTAGAGTGCACATAATCCTTGTGTTTCATATTTCCTACGCACTCTTACTTTCTTAAAAAGTAGTAGTATGAGAGAACATGTGAATGAATACACATGTTAACTCATGACTATCCAAATACAGCCATAATTCTAGTGGGTAGTTTACAGTTATTCATTAGAAAGTCATTTTTTATTGGTTCTGCAGCCATCTTTCAAAGCTGAAATTCTGCTTTTGGCTTTGATTTAATTTGCAAATTGGGATAAGACTTATAGTGGCATCTGAATAGAGTAGCCACTGCTCTTGGTTATTAGGGGGTCAGATCAAAGATTTATTGTAACAGTAATCATATTTTGACCCTATACTATGTATGTTTAATGCACTGTGCTAATAATTTTACCTGTTATCTAACATTTGAACAACCCCATAGATTAGAGAACTTCTTTATTTTTATAGACAGTAAACTGAGGTCTAGAGAAGCTTAATGGTTGAGGAATTGAGCCCACATTTGTTAAAAGATGGTACTCTTAATTCACTATAGTATATACTACCTCATAGTCTTTTCTTAATAGGTTTTTCCCCCTACAAGATTAGCTTACTTCTTGTACTTCCCAATATTGTCTGCTTTTGCACGTTGTTTTTTGTAGCACAGCATATCCATTGAACCATTTTAATTGTACTAGTTTTTCATACCAACAGGGAATATTGAGGCATGTGATAGATAAATTGCAAATATATAGCTCTATGTTAATTAACATGAACATTTTATACTTTTCTAGTGTATACTTTGTAGTTGAGCTTTTCTTTTACCGTTATCTCTGAAATTTTTTTTTTTTTTTTGCTGGGGAAGCCTTTCTTTCTTCAATTAGGACTCAGTGACTTAGGTTCACAAAGACTGAATATCATTAACAAAATAAGGTAAATTAACAAGTAGTAGCTCTCATTGGTTAGGAAGGGATGTGAAGTAGTTCTTAAGAGTAGGGTGGTTTTAGGTTTTTGAAGGAGAAAGAACCCTTTATAGAACAAAGCGTGGAAACATACAGTCAGTGGAAGTGAATTGGTAGACCTGGCTGTAGACCAGTGATTTGCAAACTAGGGCCTGTTTTTGTACTACCCGTGAAGAATGGTTTTTACATTTTTTAAGGATAGTAAAGGTAAAGAATATGTGACAGAGACAGTATGTGGCCTGCAGAGCCTTAAAAGTATTTACTATCTGATGCTTTTACAGAAAGTTTGCTGACTGTTGCTCTAGATCACAGAAATGTGTAGATCTAGAAGAAACCCTCAATCATCTGTTCTAATCTGTAAAGATTTTAATACAGCTCTGGTATTTTAGAAATGAGAACTCTGAGTTGGGGAGTGACTTTTTAAAAATAATGTATAAATGCTATTGGAGGTGTTTTATATCTGAGGCATGTGGGCAACCATTTCACTGATTATGAAGTCTCCACACCCAGCATTGACAACTTTCTTATCAAGGGGCTTCACTTCCACAGTATTTGTTAATTGAATTTTCATGATAAATAAGTGTTGAAGGGAGGGCCCAGAACAAGAATGAGATTGATATACCCATTCATACTGCTTAGAATTGTCACATGAGTGCAGTGATTTATAAGACTAATGATAGACATCAAGTTAAAATGTTGAACTAATTACAAGTTAATTATTTCACAGAGTTTTGTTATTGCTGCTGCCCACTACAGTCTGTACCCTAAAGCAACAATCCTATGAAGTAGGCACTTTTATCATTTTTTACTTTTATTCTCATTTTGCAAATTAGAAAATCTCTGAAGCACAGTGTGGTTAAGTAACGTGCCAAAGATCCCTCAGCTAACAGGAGTAGAAATTTGGGACCCAGTAGTCTGTTAAATCTACAGAGACTGTGCTCCAAATTGCAGTGTTACATGGGGTATATGGCAGTATAAGTGAAAAAAATCTGTACAACAAAGAGGCTGTCATAACCATATAATTTCACTATGACGTGTGTATGGCACTCTGCTTTAGGTCAGGTTTGAGTATTTTATAATTATGCACCCTATCAGCTGCTTCTATAGCTTTATTTTGAACTCTTAAGGATAAGGATATAAGTTAATCAATTTGTATCTTTACGCAGACTTGTAAAAAAGGCAAAAAAGGCCCAGGAGAGAAGGGCAAAGGTGGAAATGGAGGAGGAAAACCTCCTTCTGGTCCAAACCGAATGAATGGTCATCATCAACAGAATGGAGTGGAAAACATGATGTTGTTTGAAGTTGTTAAAATGGGCAAGAGCGCTATGCAGGTAATGTTTATTGTGTTCTTCCCAGTTCATTTGTACATTGTGAACTTTAGCGAGTTATATAAAATATATTCCTGATTTTTCTAATATGTAAAAAAATTTTTCACACTGCTGCTGCTGCTAAGTTGCTTCAGTTGTGTCTGACTGTGCGACCCCATAGACAGCAGCCCACCAGGCTCCGCCGGCCCTGGGATACTCCAGGCAAGAACACTGGAGTGGGGTGCCATTGCCTTCTCCACGTAAAAACATTTTTTCACACTACTCACTATAAAAAAGCAACAAACTAGTCAGGAAACTAGGAATCTGTCAGTTCAGGCATAAGACCTTTAAGCTGTGTCTTGAGTCATTTTCTTCTGTATTATTTTTTTAATGGCATCTCACAAAAAATTATTTGGTCAAAAAATATACTGCTATAAACCTGACTGTGATGTTTCAATTTCCTCTGAATTTATATAGTGGCTGTTAAAACATGAAATTCTTTACACATACAGAATTCTTGGTTGAGTGACCTAATGTAATCACTATCCACTTGAGTGAATTATTTTGATCACTGTTGTCTATTCCAGATTTTATTACTTGTGCTGTTTCTTAGCACAGGAGTACAAAGTTAGAGTCACCCATGTCAAATTATCCTAATTTTGTTTCTTCATAATTTAATGACAACCGAAACTTTTTGGCTTTATACCCATATGGTTTTTAAAAATAGAATCAACACTATACTCAATATACATGTTTAATGAAATTATTATAAAATATTAATTGAAACTAATAAATAAAATTTTTTTACATGTAAGGGATTGTTAGCTTTCGAACCATCACCGATTGTATAGTGCAGTGTAGTTTCTTGAATTTAGATTAACTCATTTATTCATATATGGTTAGCTTTCATATAGTTGTAATTAGGATGTGGATTTTATTTCTTGTTTAATATTTTAAATTATTGTTTTGTGTACACATTAAAAAAATAATGTCTTCTATTACTGTGCTATGGTTTATTTAGTCATTCCCTGATTTCAAAAATCATCCTCCTCTCTCTCGTTCCCATTTTGGATTAATTTTATTGAAGAGATAAATTATCTCTGTCATACTGTATACCATTTTGTTACTTTCCTTTTTATATTTATATTATACTTTTTGTCTGTAATATTTTGTTCTAAGTGGTTAAATGCATTAATCTTTTTTCCCAATATTTTGTCGTTTTTGTTACCATCAGAAATCTCAACTTATATCTATACTTATTAGGCTATTCTATTTTTGTCTAGTTTGTAAGTGGGTTTTTTTTAATTAACTTTCTGGCACATCATAAATTTTTAATAGAAAATGTGAAGGCTTAGCTTTATATTTCTTTTTGTTAATGGTATATCAGTGTTTAAAGAGTGAACACTTTCCTTATTTTTGTGTTGCTTATGGTTTGTCATATGTTGATTGTACCTTTATGCCATTTGTCTTCTAAATGTGCTTTCTGCCTTAAAAGCAGTATATCCACAGTATCCATTGATTTCCCTGAATCATCTCTCCACCTCTAGTTTGTTTTGTGTACTCCCACTTGTGTTATCTTTCTAACACCAGATTTGATCAAGAAAGTCTCCTGTTTACAAACTTCTAAGAGTTCTTCCTTATCTAAAAGTTCAACCCTGATTTCCTTATGGCATACTTGCTGTTCTCTAGCCACCATATGTTGTCTGCCCCTAGACGTTTCTTTTTGTTTTTTTTTACTGCCTGAAATAGTCTTATTTTTCTCCCTTCCATATCACACAGGATTGACTAATTCAGATATCACTCTTTTAGTGGGGAACATTCGTGGATTCTGTCTCCTTCTCCCCTTGAATGTATTTCTTACTCTTCTCTTTTCAGTATATTACAGTTATGCACATGTCCGAATTTGCTTCTAGATTGTTAATGCCTGGATCGGGGACTGTGTATTATTCATTTTTTTGTATCCCCAGGATATCCCTATTTCGGTAATTATAAGTGAGAGTGAATAAGTACAGGACTCACTGTCAGTTTTAAAATAGTTCTTTAAAAAGAAGAAATCATGCTTGTGCCCCTAGTTCTATTAGATAATAGATATTGAATTTTATTGAATGAGTTTTTAGTATACAATTTGATGGTTAAATTTTAAATAAATTTCATTGTGATAGCTTGTATTGTTTCCTATTTGTATTTTATTTGTATTTATTACAGTGGCCTTATATAAATTCTAGTATAAATTCTACTTTGAGCTTCATGAATAACTTTTTGATGAGACGTGGTGATAATTTTGTAAGATTTCATTAAATATTTTTGTATCCTTACTGATGAGAATAGCCCTTGTTCTAGTTATCAGTTGCTGCATAACAAACACCCCAAACTAAGTGATGTAAAAGAACAACCATTTTTTTATATTATGCTTAGTGATTCTGTGGATCTTGAATTCATACAGAGGTAAGTAGGGTTGTCTCTTCTATGCATCCATCCATGATGCCTGGGGTCTTAAGTGAGATAGCTTTAATGCCTGGAGGTGACAAAAGCAGGGACTGTGATCATCTGGAGACTTCTTTATTCATGTTTGGTGCCTAGTCAGGAGTGACTGGAAGGCTGGGCTCACCTAGAACTGTTTCCTTAAGTACCTACACATGGTCCTTCCTTGTGACTTTGGCTTCTTACTTTACTGTAAGAAGTAGCTTCTGGGTTAGAGAGACTGTACTGAGAGGAAGTGTCTAGTTCTATAGGGCTGCGAGCACCCAGTGCAGAAGTTGAAGAGCCTTCTATGACCTGATGCTGGAAGCATCATTTTTACCGCACTCTGTTCTAGAGAAGGGGACATAGACTTCACTTCTTTTTGAGGAGCAATGTCAAACAACTTGGGGCCATGTTTTTAAACTTCCACAGTCACATAATATATTCTCTTGATATTTATTGCTTGTATCATATTTCAGAATCATCTTAAAAATGTTTCTTTCATAAATTGAGTTGGTTGACATACACAAGCTGCTGTAAAGTATAGAAAAAGACGAAAATCTAGAAATTAAGCATTTTTAAAGAAAATGTCCAGTCAGTCTCCATGAGCCAGATAATTCTTAAATAATATTTCCTTTTTCTTTTTTTGTACATCAAGTTGTATGTATTTTATTCATTCAGTTTATACTCAGATTCCATATATATTTAACTTAAAACATTTTCCTTCCTGAGTTTTTAATTTTATATTAGCTGTTTTTTATCACCCTAATTTTAAAATTTTGTTTATTTAAAAATTGTTTTTATCTGTCTTATGGTTTCCTCTTCTGTCCACAAAGGAATATAGTACTGATTTTATTTATTTTCTGAGCTGTGCAGCATGCGGAGTCTTAGTTCCCCAACCGAGTCGAACCTGCTCCTACTGCAGTTGAAGTGCAGAGTCTTAACCACTGGACTGTCAGGGAGGTCTCAGTACTACTACTATCTTTTAGTTCTCTTCCTTGTTTTTTTTTAAATTACTGTATTGAGATTTACTTCAGAAACCATGAAATTCACTCTTATAAAGTGTATATTGAATGGTTTTTAGTACATTCACAAGAGTTGTGCAGCCATCACAACAATCTGATTTTAGAATTTTTTCCATCCCCAGAAAAAAAACCTCATGCCATTAGCAGTCACTTTTTCCTCACCTGACTGCAAGTCTAGGCAACCATGAATCTACTTTCTATAAATTTGCCTATTCTTGATATTTCATATAAATGAAGTCATACAAATAATGATTGGTTTTTTGTGGCTTCTTGGGTTTAGCATAATGTTTTTAAGGTTCATCCATGGTGTGGCATGTGTTATAACTTCATTATTTTTTATTGCCAAATAATATTATATTACATTGTATGGATAGACCATATTTTGTTTATCTGTTCATCTCTTGATGTACCTGTAGTTTGTTTTTACCTTTTGACTTTTTTGAATAATGCTGTTATATGATTATTACTGAATAGGTTTTGTTTGGATGTTTGTTTTTATTTCTCTTGGGTAATATACCTAGAAGTTGAGTTTCGAGGTCGTTTAACTCTAACCTTTTGAGGAGCTGCCGAACTGTTCTTTTCAATGTGACAGCACCATTTTACATTTTTACTAACAGTGGTTTAGCGTTCCGTTTCTCCAAATTCTTGCTAGCGTTTGTTATTGTCTATACTTTTTTATTATAGCCCTCTTAGTGGGAGTGAAGTGTTATCTTCTTGTGGTTTTGATTTCTGTTTCCTTTGTGGCCAGTTGCATTGATCATCTTTGCATGTGCTATATAGGCCATTAGTGTATCTTTTATATAGCACTTATTCCATCCTTTGCCTGTATTTTTAATTGGATTATTTGGCTTTTAAAATTACAGAATTACAGTTCTTTATCTTTCTGGGCACAAATTCCGTATCAGATACATGTTTTGCAAATATTTTCCCCATTCTGTGGTTTATCTTTTCACTTTCTTAATGGATTCCTTTCAAGAGCAAAGTTTTAATTTTGGATAAGTCAAACTTATTCTTTCTTTCGTCTTGTGCCTTTGGTCTAATATTTAAGAAAGGTTTGCCTAACATGGTTATGAAATTTTTCTTCTGTGCTTTATAGTTTTAGCTCTTACATTTAAGTCTTTGACCCATTTTCAGTAAAAGTATTGTGTATGATGTAAGATAGGGTCCAACTTCATTGTTTTGCTTACAGATGTCCAGTTGTCCTAGGACCATTTGTTGAAAAGACTAGTTTTTCTATGTTGAATTGGGTTAACATCCTTGTCAAAAATCAAATGACTATCAGTCTAAGGATTTATTTCTGGACTTTAAATTTTATTTCAGTAATGTTCGTAACTGTCCTTATGCCAGTAGCTTTGTAGTAGGTTTTAAAATCATGAAGTGTGAGTCCTCTGACATTGTTCTCTTTTCAAGACTATTTTGACTATTCTGTATACCTTGCATCACCCTAAGGATATTAGGATCAACTTTCCAATTTCTCCTAAGAAGTTAGCTGGCATTTTGATAGGGGTAGCATTGAGTCTGTAAATCAGTTTGGAGGGTACTGTCATCTAACAACATCAGGTCTCCAGATTCATGAACTATCTTTCTTTTGATGCTTATTTAGCCTTCAATTTCCGTTTTTTCTTAATATGAGATTATTAGCACTCAAGAAAAAGTTATTTTATTTGCATTTCCTCATGGACCCAGGCATTTACTTCTTTTTAAAAATTTTGTAAAGTTTTCATTCCACCGGCATTGTAAATATTTAGATACTACTTAGTACAATATTTTTGTCAGCTATTTTAATATTTTTAAGATGTCTATAATATCACTAATAAATTTCAGTTTATAGAGTTGGGTCCTATAGTTTTCAGATTCCTTTTAATTCAAAAGTTAAGGAAGATGGATCATCATTATGTATAATCAGGTGATGGATTTACTGAATTTGATTTCATTTTATTGTTAAAATGTAAATTTTGGTATACAAATATGTATTTATTGAAGTAATGTGATGCCACTTAATGTTGGATCTTAATGACTTTGATCTGAATTAAATCTTAGAATGTTAGAAAGCTAATGTTTTTTTCTCCCCTTCTTGCTGTAGTCGGTGGTAGATGACTGGATAGAGTCATACAAGCATGACCGAGATATAGCACTTCTTGACCTCATCAACTTTTTTATTCAGTGTTCAGGCTGTAAAGGTAAGATACATTTATTTTGGAATCAGAATGTTCTCAAATGTTATCTTTTTTGTTTCATCTGAAGATTATTAATACTTTGTATGGAAAATACTGCCAAGATACTGAGTTATTTGCATTATAACTATACAAAATATGTAAAGAAAAAGGAGTAAAGAACAAAGAGAGGAAGTCTGTTGAGACTGTTGTATGCTATGTGAAAGTTAATGAAGAACTTGGCAATTTATAATGTTATGTTACTTTTATTAGATATATTTCCCACTTTCAGCATCTGGTTTTAGGAACAAAGAAATGGACTAAGAAGGGAGGAAGAAGATAATGAAGAGATACAGGTTCAAGTGGCAGGGAATTATAAAGTGTAGGGAGTTAAAAAGTGCCATGAATAACAGTAAGAAAGTAAGTAAGTAGGTAAGTAAGTAACTAAGTAAGTTAAATAAGGTATTAGTGAAATTTCCAGATTCTTTCCCCTAAAAGAGAAACTCTGGAGTGGGGTCTTGTTTAAAGTGTTTATACTTTATTTAAAAAGATTTTGAATTAAAAGTATGGAAAATATAAAATGTAGAAATGTCTTTCCTGAGACAAAAACTTATAGTGCACACATTTGGCCAGAGGGACAAAACTGTGTAAGTTGGAGAGTCATATACCCTGATCTGAATCAGTAAATGAAGTCGTCAAGTTCATGGGCAGGTTCTGACCTATTCTGTCTCCCTAAACTTGACCCATCCTTGAAATTCTACAAGATGCACAGGCAAATACATGTTACAGAGTTTTCCAAGGCTATTCTTTTTTAAAATGAAAATGGCACCAAAAACATGGGCATTAGAAGTCAGGAGGACGGAAGATTGCTTAAAAATAGATCTAAAAAATGAAGATGCTAAAGAATGATTTAAACAGATCTGAAGAAAAGATCCCAAGAAGCAATCTACTCATTTAATTCCATAAAACTTCTTTGAAAATCCTGTCATTGGAATTGGAAAACAAGTAACATTATAAGAACTGATGCATTTTATGGGGTTGATCACAACTTTCAGTGCAGTCTTCATATTAAATGTTATATGTGAGGCCTGATAGACAAATTTATTAACTTCTTGAATCTATGGTCTTCATAATGCCATTAATGTAGTCAGTTTTGAGAACTTTTTAAAAATGTCTGAACTTTAGAGTACAGAGAGTTGCATAGTTTACTCACCTTCTTAGCTAAAGATATCTGTATATCAGTATTAGAAAATTCTACTGAATCTGCTCAGAGGAAGTGTTGTGGTAATGACAGTATGATAAACCAGATAAACTCTTTAGAAAATGAGATATGTTGATATTATTTTTATTTTGCCCATGTCTGTTCCGTCTTTCTGGAGTAGAAGGATACAAGTACCCGTTTGTTGTGTTATGTAATTAAGGGCCATGTCCTTTCTCTTTAGATTTTTTGAAATGAAAGGTTGATGACAAAACAACTGAACAGGTGCCAGAAATAATTTGATGAGTTGAAATTCAGTCTTAGTTGATTGATTATAGTTTCCTGATTAGGTTTCTAAATAAGCAGTTTTAAAAGCCATAGAGCGTTTTCCCTTTATCAGATACATTCCTTTTCTGGCCTCATTGTATTTATAAATAAGGAAGTTAACCATTCAACAGTTGGATATACCTTATCATAAATCAGGTTGTGAAGATTTTTAAAAATTGAAGGTGTTGAAAACTTAAACACCACTATAATACTTATTTTAGAATCATGGAAGCGTCATAAAGAGGAATTTACCATGCATTCAAAGTTAAGTTCATGACGTACTTAAACATACTCAAAAAATATTTTGATGGAATTCCTTTTTAAATGAATTAGATACATGTTTAAGTATACACAGTGTACTTTAACCTGTTCCTGTGGGTCTAGGATTGTTATTATGAGCGTCAGTTATTTTACTGTAGTTAACGCGTTTTACAGCTATTGAGGTAGGTGGAGAGACGTTTGGCCCCACACTGAGTGGCTCCAGACTGCTCTGTGGTTGGTGATCCTGCAGCCAATGTTGTTTCCTTTTTTCTTTCTTTCAGCTGTCACTTTTCAGTTTACCAGTTTTTAAATAGCTCGCTTCATGTCCCCCACACTTTAAGGCAGTGGGATCTGGCCTGGTGTCCTGATGGCTCCTTCATACCTGCCTCAGGAGCTATTATATGCATGGAGTTTGTGACAGCCACTTTATTTTCTCTTTATATTTGAGTTTATGACTGTTACATGGTTTATGAGGTGCGAGGAGGAGCTTTAGAAGTTTGTCAAGCTGTATGCATTATGTTTACTTTGACATATCTAAATGTTTATTTCATATAAATTATTTCAGGGATTGAGTTACTTGTTCTCTAGCATTGCCAAATTTACAGTATTTGGGTATAAAGTATGGAAAGTTTTTGAGATATATTCATGGCTCTAAATAAAAATTAAAAACCCCTTCAAAACATTTTTGAGAATGTGCTGCTTTAGCTGGAGAAATCACGCTTTCTTCCAAATTTGTTATTATTTGTAAACAACCATGTAAGTAAGGGTTCTTTTACAGTACCAGTAGAAATTGATCTCACCTGGGGCTGGGCAACATGATGTTGACTAATAATCTCATAGAAATTATTTATAACTTCTCTTTGCTTTAGCATCAGTTTTCTCATTTGTAAAGCTAGGATTATAGTACCTGCTATACAGGCTTGGTTTCAGGGCTTAAGTGGCCAGTACATAGGAGGCTCAGTGGATGTTAGTTCATGTTCTAGTTCTGCTGGCTTTGTTGGACTACTGGAAGGTCTTAAATTGCATGCCTATAGAGAAGGAGCTCATGTAGTCGTTGCTCTTTCAGATTAGGGGTTGGAAAGACAGTATGATGTTTTGTAGCTGTTTTTAGTTTTACATACACACACATGCACACATATACAAAATAGAGTTTGGTCAGTTGAAATACATCTATCAATTATATCTGATTTTTATAATAAATCTCGTTTTCCTGTACCAAGACATTATTTTATTTTTATTGTTTGGCCACACCTTGCACCATGCTGTCTCTTACTTCCCTGTCCAGAGATCGAACCTGTGCCCCCTGTATTGGGAGCGCATAGTTGTAACTACTGGACTGCCAGGGGAGTCCCAAGACATTCTTTTAGATATGAGTATATTTATACTATTCATAGTGATTAGACTGCCAGAGTATAAATAATAGAGAAATGTACTTTAAGAAATTCACTTTTTATAGTTACATTTTTTGTGTGTGTGTGTGATACCCTATCAGTGAAAATTCATGTATGACTTCTTGCATTGTCTCCTACTCATAATTTTTTCCTAGAAATTCCTTTTCTGATATTTGGCGTATACCTGGCTAACTTTTACTACTTGTCTTTTATTTTTGAAATATATTAATATTTGATTTACAGTGTTGTGTTAATTTCAGGTGTACAACAAAGGGATACAGTTATACTACTACTCCTAATGTGTATTCTTTCTCCCCTCCTCTCCCATCCTCCTTTAAAAGGAAATGTCCAGTATCAGATTCCTTCTCTGTGAAACACCTACTTACTCAAATCTTAATTCTTTCTTTCTTTTTTTAAGCCTATCTTGATTTTTCTACTCATTAGGGCATTTACTATGTACTACCTTTAACACTTTATCCCTGCCCATCCCCCCTCACCCCCACCCCCATTATTCTTTGTTTAAACTTAGAAGTAGGTTACAGACTTCTAGGATGAGCAGGAACTACAACTTACTACTTTTGTTTATTTGAAGTCCTTTGAGGTGGATGGTAGGATACAGTTGCCTTACATACAGTTGTGCTTAATAAAGAGACCTTCTTAAAGTGAATTCTTCCTATTACTCTTTCCCTTATTTTTTTCAGGTTCATCCTCAGGGCTTTAAATGTTATCCTAGATGGCTGCCTCATTATTGATGACATATGCTTTATATTAAAGAGTTTAGCCAGTATACATATTCTAGGAGTAAAGTGAGTTGGATAGAAATGGCTAAGGCTGATTGTTTCACGAAAAGGAAGAAAGAGACCTGTGAGAAGTGCAGGTCTGTTTTCTTGTATATGTTGAGAGTGGTATTTGTGCTTTACAGGATTGAGTATCATGGTGAAGATCACGTGATAGAGAAGTACATCTTATTGTGCGACTGTAGACATTTTAGTGTTAGAGATGGACTTAGAAGTTCTCTATTGTTTTATTTACCATGTATTAACTTCTTACACTTGGAAATTTCAGGTGTTGTTACAGCAGAAATGTTTAGACATATGCAAAACTCTGAAATAATTCGAAAAATGACTGAAGAGTTTGATGAGGTAAGTTAATACCCTGTGATAATTTTATGTACCTTGATCTTTAGAATATTAAATTTTGAATATTAGTTTGTAGATAAGAGCTTTGGTAGTAGAAATCCAGTTAAATGATGGCCCTGTGACCTTGGGCAAATTGTTGTCTTAGCATAAGTTTCATCATCTGTAAAATGGAGCTGAAAATACTTAATAGGGCTCTTAAGAAGACTGAATGCAATAATGTTTGAAAACTTCCTTAGCATTTTACAATGTCTGGCACATAGTAAGAACTAAATGGTAGCTGTTTTGTTAAAAAATTAAAATTTCAACAGAGAATAAAATTAAGTGCCCATGAGCATGTGTAAGCTTAGGCAAAGATAAATGCTTGCAGGTATATTTTATTGTTTAAAGTCTTATTTATGTTTTACATGTGAATAACAAGAACAGTTCAAATACATAATAAATAGTAGCTTAGACCTTAGTTGATTATCACAGTGATGTCTTTGAAGTATTATTGCCAATAAAGACAGATTTACTATAATATAAACTCCTTCAAGTCAGGGATTTTTGTTTGTTTTGTTCACAGCTGTATTCAAGCACCAGTAGTTTTTACTGTTCAGAACTTTTCACTGTGAATTTTCAAGTAGAAAGCCTTTCTCATTTGAGTTTTATATGATTTTTTTTAACCTTATTCAGATGAAGGAGCTTTCAACTATCTTTCTGAAAACAAGAATTGTTAAATGGCTCTGATGATCACTAAGTGCTATTAATCAGTCTCTAAGTCGTTGAGATGTAATTATGAGGAATGGTGTTATTTTAACCTTCTGATATTAAATGTTTTAGTGAGAACTTTGTTCTCAATAGCTATTTGAAATAAGATTCCTGAAATAAGATTTGAGAATATCAGCAAACCAAGTTGCTAACAACAATTAAGATGATACCTTTCAGTATAGTGCTAAATGAGCCAATCAGAAAATGGAAGAAAACCTTTTTGTGGAGTATTAGGACCTTATTCTCAGATGAGACATAGTTCAACTTGTGTATGGCATTACTTAAAATTTTTTAAAATATATGGCTCTAATGACAAAATTTAATTGTTGAAAAATTTACTAAACCATAATGACCTTAGGATATTCTTGTCAGAAACTTCTATGTAGTATTGGTCTCTGCATTTATTCTTAAGATTTGTTTGTTTTTAATGATTTATAGAGGACCTCAATGTATCTTTGTTGGTGAATGCCCCATCTTACATATAGGAATACTTGAGTACCTGTCTTTACAGGTCATTCTAGTTTGTTTTCACTTAAAAAAATTACTGTTTACATCTGCTGAGTATTTGATGTCCTGAAGCTAATAAAAACATACATTGTAATCCTTTGATTATTTATGTCATACATGAATCTATTAGACTGGCTGAGAATATGATTTCATCATGTTGAATCATTAAAACAGGCAACTTTGGTTTGATTTTTGCTCGGTTTTTTTTTTTAAAGAAATTTAGTGACTGTATCTTTGCTTATCAGAATAAATTTTATTTGATGGGAGAGACTTTTTATTTTGGTATGTAATTAGAATATATTTTCATTGGTTAGAGTGAATTCAGACTATCCATTTTGATCTTAAATAATAAGACCAGATGTGTTCAAAGATATCTCTACCTTTGCATATTATTCTTGTGCCTACTTTGAGGATTTACTATAGAAGAAGAGATAAAGGAGTCTTTTCAGCTTCTGCCTAGAGTATTTCAAAAACAAGTAAAAGTTTATTAAATTGTGTGTTTTAAGTGAAATTGTTGTTTAAAATGTCTATTTTAGGATAGTGGAGATTATCCACTTACCATGGCTGGTCCTCAGTGGAAGAAGTTCAAATCCAGTTTCTGTGAATTCATTGGCGTATTAGTACGGCAGTGTCAATATAGTATCATATACGATGAGTACATGATGGATACAGTCATTTCACTTCTTACAGGATTGTCTGACTCACAAGTCAGAGCATTTCGACATACAAGCACCCTGGCAGGTCAGTATTCAGAAATCTTTTTGTGCATTTTCTTAGGTTAGAGATGAAAATGGTTTTCATTAAAAGGAATGAAATGATGGTGACAAATTAATTTTATTTATTAAGTAGCCCCTAAGAGGACATTCTCCTCTTTCCTTCAGTCCCATGAATTATGGAGAATGGAATGATAGTTTTGGTTCTCTGAAGACATTTATACAATTATAGTATAATTTTCTTGTGGTAAACCTACTTGATTCCTATCTACCTCTTCTCCCTTTCTGTGGCATAGTAATCTCTTCGGTCTCGAAATATGTTTTATCAGGGAAGGCATCGACATCAAATTTGGGGAGCAGTGATTTTGGATATGTAGTTCTAAATTACTTGTGTGCATAGTCACTACTAGCATAATCCCTCCCAGTATGATTGTCCCTACAGGATGATGCTTATTTAACCACATCAGAAAAGTTGATTTTTCTTAAGCTTCTGAGTAACTTTAGGCTGAGTCAATTTTTCTGTGATCTTTATATGAAATAAGTTACATTTTTAAGGCTCACATGATTAATTCTAGAACAGTGATTTTTTGCTGTTGATGTTGATAAAATGTCCTGGTTTCTCTTTTGTGCTAAAGGTAAAATTGTTCATATACTGTTATTGAATATGCGCCTTTTGATTTGAGTATGAGTAAATTGACCAGGGATTAATTGTTAAGTATTCTATGCATTAATGATAGAATATTTTGATTTCTATAAACATTTTTCATTCTCTAAATGTGGGGATATTTTTCCTTTAGAGTATTTCCCTAAAGAATTAAAGCTGTGATTAAAAATGGCCTTTTGCTCAGCCCTCCATTTAAAAAAAAAAATGCGGACAGTCTCCCTGTAGGTTTTTAGATTTGAGGTCACAAATTATGAATGTGATTGATCTGTGTACTTAGGTAGCTTTGATGTTGAGAACTTGAATGGTTAAAGTAAATTAAAAACACGTATAATGGGCAAGGTGAGTAATTTTAGATCAGAATGAGAAAATGGTTTGCTGAGGGTATACAGTAGCTCAGAGCAGAAGATTGGGAATCTCTTTTAAAGAGAGCTAGTAGCCACAAATTGAGGTTTAGTTTTGTGGTGTTCTGTCATACAGCGAATCAGGCTTGAGAAGTAGTCTGACCTAAGCTAAAAAAAAGCATAATATGTTCAGATATTTCAGTTAATAAGTTTGAAGTCACAGGCAGTGAGTCTTGTCTCAGTAGCACGAGTTCAATAACAGAAGGTAGAGATCTGGAGAAACTGATACAAAGCACTTTATTGAGTGACATTTTACTCTTTGTACTTTTGACTTTTTATCTTGATCTGTCCTTCATAATTGCATCATTGTCTTAATGATGATATGTAATAAGAGTAAAATTAAAGGAAATCAAATACTGATAAAACTGTCCAACATTTCTACACACTGTACTTTGATAAAAAGCACTTATGGGGAAAAAAAAAGTACTTACGATCCCTCCCCCTTTGGTTACTGGATAGCTAAATGACTGCTGTATTAGTCAAAATTTATTTAGAAGGTAAATCATGATCTCTTGAAAAGGTCATTGTAGGGGACCTATCATTGAATAGTGAGCATAGTCTAGAGTAATATTATCTAGTTTTGAATCTTGTTTTAGCTGTGTATATGAACTGTGTAGTTTGAGGCAGATTTCTTAAGCTCCCTGAACTTCAGATTCTTCATGAATGAAATGAGGATAATACTTAACTTTGAGGGCTGTTGTAAGGATTAGGAGTTAATCCATGAAAAGTACTTAACATAGGTAACTGACTGACATATAGTAAGTATTCGATACACATTAGCTGTTGTACTATTGTTGTCATTTGTAGCAGCTGTATTTTTCTATTAGAAGTGGAACAGCCCATCTTGTTTTTAATTTTTCTTAAGTAGATCATAACTTGTAAATTTTTCTGTGAGACTAATTTCAACATTTTCCATTTAAAAATAGCTATGAAGTTGATGACAGCTTTGGTGAATGTGGCACTAAATCTTAGCATTAATATGGATAATACACAAAGACAGTATGAGGCAGAACGGAATAAAATGATTGGAAAACGAGCCAATGAGAGGCTAGAACTCCTGCTACAGAAGCGGAAAGAGGTACACTCTTGTATTGAATGTTTAAGCTGTTAATCTGTGACCAACTTAGTCACCATTAATTATGATATATAACTTTGCTAGTTCATCAGATAAAATTTTTTGAAAAATTTAAACAATATGTTTAAAGTTGTTTATACATCTAACTTATTTTTATTGACTGTCCATGCAACAGTACCTTCTGTATATATTTCCTTTCTGTGTGGACTAGGATTAAGAGTTGAATGCTTCAAGTAAGGAGTCCTGGGCCAGTTGGACAAGTTGTCTTATGCTTTATTGTTAATCATTTCTACTGTGAATCTCCTAACTTTTCCCTCAATTTATTGTCGGGATCAAATGAGGTTTCACTTATGTAAAATCCCTTTGAAAAATAGGGATAAGCTATTTATGGTGTCATAACCTGTGTTTTTGGTATGTGTGTGTGGGTTTTTTTTTTGTAGTGTAAGAGACCCTTGAATAACATTAATGACTGACCACCAAATTCAACTTTGAATGAGGAAAATGTTTTTTTCAGTTCTATGCTAAAACGTAATTAATAAAATCTTTGGTATTGGCTTTTTTTTTTTTGGCCATGCCATGCAGCTTGTGGGATCTTAGTTTTCTGACAGGGATTGAACCCAGGCTCCAGCAGCGAAAGTGCTGAGTACTAACCACTGTATCACTAGGGGATTCTCTCGATGTTGTGTTTTTTACTTAAATTCCTTCTTCATTGGTAATATAATATTTTGCTATCTGATATTGGGAGTGTTTATTTTTATTTTGAATAGGCAAAGTCTGATGTTTCAAAAATATTGCTAATGTAGTTGAGCTAAAATATTTGCTGTGGGATATTTGCCATGGTATTCCATAAATTACTTGATTCTGACATTTTGTGGGGGTGATTGTGGTAACTATAATTTAAAAGTTGGTTATTTCTGAGATAGCCAATAAATTTTAAAAATACCCCTTGCCTAAGAAAAGCCAGAAAAATCTTGCCCACATTTCCCCCATGCCTAAATTCCTCTTCTTTTTCATATACATTTGAACCTTGAACAACATATGTTTGAATTGTGCAGATCCATTTACACATGGATTTGTTTTTTTAGTAGTAAGTATTATAGTTCTTATATGATCCATGGTTGGTTTAATCTTTGGTTGTGAAACCTTATATGTGCAGAAACCGTGGATACAGTGAAACTGCATATACAGAGGGCCACCTATAAATTTTACTTAGATTTTCAACTGTGCAGAGGGTCAGCAGCCCTAACCCCTGCATTGTTTAAGGATTAACTGTAGTTGAAATGAAGAATTGACCTTTTTGCCCTTTAATTTAGTTAATAAATTGCATTGGATGTGTTATTAGCTGAACATAATGCATAAAATTATGGCCTTACTCTGAACATAGCATGAATGGATATAAAAGGGTTTTGAGTTTAAAATTCTTCTATCATATAAGATATTAATACTTCTAGGTTGGGTTAAGTTTTTAAACATGTTGAAAGCCCTCCTGTGCCTCTGCATGCCCTGTTAGCATTATTTGGAAATGTGAGATTATACTCATGAAAAGAAAAAAAGCGCTTTACGAAAACACAGAGCATAATTCTGAAAGCTAATTGATACTTAGAGTGTGAAAGATTTTTCTTGTAATTCTCAAGCTCTGAATCAATTTTCTCTTAACTCTAAAGCTCTGAATTGAAAATACATGGAAGTAAATAAGTCATCCAAGATTTGAAATGTTCAGTTGATTATTTCGAGTGAGCCTTGTTTCCCTCAAAAATATTTAGCAAGAAGACACATTTTTTGCCAAGTTATTTTACTCAACTTTTTTTGTTCTTTGATCAGGCGTTAGATAACGTGAGTTAATTTTCAGATGCTAAAGACCAAGATAATGAAGCATTGTTCTTTTTTGATATGAACATATATGTTATTTAATAGATAAGTAATATAATAAACTACTTAAAGGATTTCTTTACATAAATTTATACAATAGAAATATGTGACCATCTGAAAAAATTAGTCAACCAGCTAAACATTAGCAGTGACATTAACAACAGTGTACAAATATTCCAGGTATCAAGGGAGTTTAGCTACCTTTTATGCAACAGCTTTTAGTTTTTCTGTGTGGACACTTTTCGTTTAGTGAAATTAAAAATTGCATGAAAATATCAAAACTCTGGAGAAACCTACATTTGTGTTTGTACCAACTTTTACATGTTCTTTTGATTGTTTTCTATTACAATTGCAAAGAAATGATATGTTCTTTTCAGCTTCAAGAAAATCAAGATGAAATAGAAAATATGATGAATGCAATATTTAAGGGAGTGTTTGTACATAGATACCGGTAAGTCAGGACAGTTTTTTCTATGTAACTCTTATTCTCTTCAAGTTTGGTTATTTAGTGGTTTAGGCAATATAAATTTAGTGGTAACAGTGTTACGAGTAAGATCAGTGTTAGAATCTAAGGTCTTCCACTGATTGGGACACTCTAGGCAAGTTACTTAACTGCTCTGCACTTTATTTTCTATCTTAAAAATGGGGGAATGTTGTGCTTGACTTGTAGATGCCCAGAAAATGGAAGCTACTATTGTTAACTAGGAGTGAGGGTACAGAACACTTAATTGCTTTTGTATGTACTGTGTTAGCAGAGACTGTACGTTTTGATAACTGATTCTTTGCTCTTCGATTTGAATATCAGTGGGAAAATTTGGGTAGATTTAAGTGAATTGTTGCCCTTATTTTGAATGAGCAGAGGAAAGAAATAGGTGGTCTTACCACCATTTCTGCTGTAACCTGTTCTTTAAATATTGGTGGCATTTTTATTTAATTATGTCATTTTCTTAATTTGGCAGTTACTACATCAGGTTAATACTTCCTTTGTAGTATCCTTTTGTCTATTCTTATCTTTTTATTTCTACTGTCACCATTACCTTAGTCTATTCCTTCATCATTCTAGAGATTATTGCAGTGGTCTTAAAATGTTCTTTTGTTGAATCATTCCTCTACCCAAAAGCGTTGAATGACTTACCAGTACCTACAGGATGAATTCAGAATAATTTAGTATGATGTTCAAATACAAATTGAGCTTGACCTCGGTATTAGGTGTAACTAATTCTCACCTGGAAAATACGCTGTAACCAGACTAATGTTCCAACTGTCTTCTGAATACACCATGTCCAGCAGGTGTAAATAAAGGCTAGGGTATGACATGATAGAGAAGGTGGGGGTTGAATTTTGTTTGTAGGTTTATTTAACTTTAAATATTTATTTGGTGATAATTGTACTTCGACAACTAGACTGTAAGCTCTTGGCATTTAGGGGCCATGCTTCAATTCTTGTAAATCCCCAGTAATACTTAAGGTAGTGGTATGTTCATGGTAGGTATGAAGTATTGGCATTGCATAAAGAACCCACAAGTCCTGTGGTATACTGACACTAATATGCATAATTTTCTTTCTTCCATGCAGTGATGCAATAGCTGAAATCCGAGCTATTTGCATTGAAGAAATTGGCATTTGGATGAAAATGTATAGTGATGCCTTTCTTAATGACAGTTATTTAAAATACGTTGGTTGGACTATGCATGATAAGGTAAGATATATATAGTGCTTTTCTTTCTGTATAGGCATAGCTGTGTGCTACTCTCATTCATAGTGAATTATCTGCGTATACATATGACTGGGAGCACATTCCTGTAGACTTCTCTCCTTTATTCTTTTCTGTCTGTTCCATGAAAATATGGTCTCTATCACATAAAGTACCCTAGATTTTTGAATCTTGGGCACTGATTTAGCCTTCGATCATGAAACAATTTTTGTACTGAAACAATAGGATCATGTAGGTGATGGTGGTTAGTGGTAAAACATTTCTTAAGAGTAGTAAGAAGAATTCTTACTCTGTTAATATGTAAGTGCTATGTATATACATAAATTTCTTTAATTTTGATTCTCTTGATAAACATATATCTTAGCCAGATTATAAATTACCACTTGGCCTCTGACCTTTTTAATTTTTTTTATTAATCTGCCTTTCCCTTAGGCTGTCTCTTCACCTAGCCTTGATCTTTGTATATATCCCTTACAAATATTATTTTCTATAAAGGAAAACTTACTGTGAAATATGCTACTATCATCTTTCACAATAGCATTGCTCTGAAAAAATTTTCAAAATATTTTCATTTGACCTACAGTAATAGTAACCCAAAGGTACTTAGTCTTAAATGAATGTATTGATTCCTGTTTTTGCATTGTCAAGGATGAGAGTTTCTGAAGAAATACCATAGTATAGAACATATTTAAAGTAGAAGATGTGGTATATATCTTGTGTGATCAGGTTGAAAATATGCAAAGTTTTAATGCATTTTCTCCTCTCATTTAATTCAGCAAGGTGAGGTAAGACTTAAATGTCTCACTGCTCTACAAGGACTTTATTATAACAAAGAACTTAATTCCAAACTGGAGCTATTTACCAGTCGGTTCAAGGTTAGTATTACTCTAAGTATTTAACATTTACCTGTTATTTTCAAGTATTTTTCTCTTGGTTTCCCTTTAAGAATATTTTATTTTTTTCGTCCTTAGGATAGAATTGTTTCTATGACCCTTGACAAAGAATATGATGTTGCAGTACAAGCAATAAAATTACTCACTCTTGTTTTACAGTAAGTATGTATTTACTGCATATTGCTGATGTCTACATATCTTAAAAATACATTAGCTTACTTGGTTTAAATTTATCTATGTCTAAATTTCAATAAGTTGGAGTTTTACAGCAAGAAGTTTAGTTTTCTCATGTAAAGTTGAGAAGATAGGAAGAGAGGACCGTTGAACTAGAAAATTCTAACTGAGCTGGGAATTCATGTGTTTGCATTCTCTTGGCTAGTTTTCTTTAGATGCTCTTGAAATTAAGTTAAACACTCGAGTTTGTTAAATATGTGTATTGTATTTTGTCACACTTTTAGAAATTAGTATTTACTGAAACTTTCTGTAAACAATCTGAATTTAAAAACATATTATGTTAAAATTGACACAATTTTAGGATTGATGCAATTCACTTTTCCCCTTTTTAAAAAGATTGTGGTGATACATGTAACATTTAAACCACTTAAACATATTTCAGTGTACAGATCAGTGGAATTAAGTACATTCATATTGCTGTGCAGCCATCATCACCATTATCCATCTCCATATTATTTTTATCATTTCATACTGATACTCTGTAGAGGACTGCACAGTATGATTTTGCATCGTATTGTCTACTTTTCATCTCTGAATTTGACTATTTTAGGTACCTCATTTAAGTGAAAGTACGTAATATTTGACCTTTTATATCAGGCGTGTTTTACTTAGCATGATGTCCCAGAGTTCATCCATGTTATGTCATATATCAGAATTTCATTCCTTTTTGACACTCAGTATACCACATTTTATGTATTCATCCATCAGTGGACATTTAGGTTTTTAACATGATCCGGATAGTTGCTAAGGGCTTTTTATTTTATTTTTTTATTTTATATTGGGGTATACCCATTTAACGAATGATGTGATAGTTTGAGGTGAACAGGGAAGGGATTCAGCCATACATATATACATGTATCCTTTCTCCCCCAAACTCCCCTCCCATCCAGGCTGCCACATAACACTGAGCAGAGTTCCCTCTGCTATATAGTAGGTCCTTGTTGGTTATCCAGTTTTAAAAACAGAAGTCTGTACATGTCCATCCTGAATTGCCTGTCACAAAGGCCTTTTAATAACATTCTAATTCTGATACTCATATGAGTATCAGTAAGTCATCATGTAAGAGTAGCCAGCAAAATTCTGATAAAAACTAATGAGAGATGACTGCCCACTATGATTTTAAGTCAAAATTGTAAAAGAACATTGACTTTATTATTATTAATACTAATTTTTTAAAATTGAAGTATAATTGATTTACTATATTGTGTTTGTTTCAAGTATATAGCAAAGTGATTCAGTTATACATTTATCTAGTAAGTCCTTGCTGGTTATCTGTTTTATATGTAACAGTGTGTATGTGTTAATCCCAAACTCCTATTTTATCTCTCCTTCTCCTCACCCTAGTTACTTTTAAGTTTTGGTACTGGTGTGTAAACAGACAGAAATGAGTGACACAGAATAAAGAATAGAGACAAACTTAAATGTATCTAGGAACCTAGTGTAGGGTAAGGGTGGTTTTATATCAAAATAAATGATTTTATGACACTTAGGTTCTATTTGGGAGAAAATTAAATTGGATTCATATTTCATTCCTTATACAGAGATAATTTCAGGATGGATGAAATGTCTAAATGTAAATAAATGAAATCATTAAAAGTGTTAGATGAAAACTGAGAAGATTAAACATTTTAATTTTATATGTAAACTGGCAGTATCTTTCTGAGAATGACATAAAACCTAGACATTAAAAAAATTACTGAATTTTAACTACATAAAAAACTACAAATATGTATATGCCATAATGTAAACTCAGAAAACAAATGACAGACTGGGCAGAAGATTTGCACTGTAGGAGTCACTTTCAATAAATCAGTAAAAAGAACAGAAACCCAGTAGTAAAAGAGTCAAAAGTTAGGAACCATGTTACTGACAGAAAAGAAAATAAAAAATTAAACATGCAAAAAGATGTTTGGTCATACTTAGAGACATGTATATTAAAATGAGACTTTTTTTAACCTACTTTTTTTCAAAGATTAATATGTTTGGTAATACACTAGTTGCATAAGGCTATGCAGAAACAAACCCATAAACTTTACTGATGGGACTATAAATTGGTATAGCATCTTTGGAGAAAAGTGTGAAAGTGAAGTCGCTCAGTTGTGTCTGACTCTTTGCAACCCCATGGACTGTAGCCTACCAGCCTCCTCCATCCATGGAAAATTTTCCAGGCAAGAGTACTAGAGTGGGTTGCCATCACCTCTCCAAGGGATCTTCCTGACCCAGGGATTGAATCCGGGTCTCCCACATTGCAGGCAGACACTTTACCATCTGAGCCACCTGGGAAGCCCTGGTGAAAAAAGCTTGGTGGTATCCAAAATTTAAAATGTTCTCATTCTCTAATATAGTACTGTTTGTAATAGAATATTGGAAATATTCTAGATGATTATCAATGGAGGAAGAATTAATATATAAGATAACAGCTAATAGAAGTGCCTTATAGGGGTTATCTCATTTAATGCAGCAATCCATTGTGAGGAGTGTGGTTGTCAACCCCATTTGCAGTTATTAAAATGAAGGCAGCTCTACCTCCTAATTTAAATCGGTAGGTTGAGATTAACCCTGTTATATATAAAATAGATAATCAATAGACCTACTGTATAGCACAGGGAACTTTGCTCAGTACTCTGTAATAACCTTTATGGGAAAAGGAATTGAAAAATAAATATGTATATATGTATAACTAAATCATGTTGCTGCACACTTGAAACTATTGTAACCTACATAGTAAATCAACTATATTCCAATATGAAATAAAAATAAAAAAAACCCCACAAGGTAGATCTATATACACTGACGTTTTCTGAGAATTCACTAACTGGGGGGATTTTGAGCAGTCTTAACTATTGCATTTTTCTTTGGGTTTAAAAATTATAAATTATTATGTATGCATATGTTATAAAACTGTCCTGAATTAAATAAGAAAATAGTAGTACTCTACTTAATGTCTATAGCTTTTCCCCTCTTCCTCTGTAATACCATGTGGACACCTTTTTTCGTAGTTTCAGCCATGTATTTACCTAATAACTGAAACTTGTAGAAACAAACATTCCTTATGGGTTAAAATTAGTGAACTACGTCAAATTTGCTGTAGTTTGATTTGATTCAATATGTGTGTGTATTTATGTGTAGTTATAAAATGGCAAAAAATGGTTTTTCAACAAATGATCCAGTATTATACATTGAGGTAAAGTGCTTTTGAAACTTTTAACATTTTGGTTTCATTTTTCTCTCAAAGAAGTAATATTTCCTTAGACATCAGACTTCTGGAAACCTTGTGCACAGCAGAAAACCAAAAAGACTCTGAGCTCTGTCTAATATCCTTAGGCTTTTTTTTCCAGTGGTGGTCCTAGGATCCCAAATTTGCATATAATAGTTAAAAAAAAAGGGGTAGATTGTTTACCTCACAGCAGACTAAAAGCATATTAGGGGGAAAGAGGTGCCAGACGCCAGAACTTCAAACACAGGGTCTTGTTTTGGAAAACTCAGCAAGGTTTACCCTGGGGTTCTGTGGTTGATGGGCCTAATAATGACTTTGATTTACCAAGATTTGTTAGGTTTACTTTCTTCTTTAAAGTAAGATCAATAAAACGAGCGCTATATTTTAGTGAGTTTTTTTTAATGATAAATTGTAATTAAATGTCTTTGGCACTTAAATTTTATTATTTGGAAAAATTCTTTTGCATTGTTTTATATGATGTTAAGTACATGGTGAATGAAGTATTATTTTTCATCATTGTGAGGTAACTGGGATGTTAATATATTTTAATGTTGCAAAATTGTATTCTTAATATTGCCATGAAATAACATGCAAAGTGTTTTCTTTGATTATTAACTAAGCTCCAAGTGTCTCAAGTGGTAAAGAATCTGCCTGCCAATGTAGGAGACAAAGGCAAGAGATGCCAGTTTGATCCCTGGGTGGGGAAGATCCCTTGGAGGAGGAAATGGCAACCCACTCCAGTATTCTTGCCTGGAGAATTCCATAGACAGAAGAATCTGGTGGGCTACAGTCCATGGGATTCCAGAGTTGGACATGACTGAACACACACGCACACACTGAGCATGCCACTACTTTATTTTCTATGTTAGTTTATATTATTTTGTCTTCATTTCCCTTTAGCACACTTGTCACGTAGTTATTTCTCTTGGTATATATTTCTTTATGCCCGATATTCACCCTAATTTTAGGTCTTACTGGTTAATCTTGGGTGTTCACAAAATACTCAGCTCTTTTGTCAGAGGATGCTTTTACTAATAGATGATAATCAAGTAAGCTTGATTTCTTCTTGAAACAACTTCTTAATGACCTTTTTTTAAAACACAAGTTTAAAAGTGAAAATGTACTATTTTTTAATGTATGAGTATGAATTTTTGTACCAGTAAACTTAAAATTACAACATTGTTTTGAAAACTGCTATTGCTTATTTGTTTTCAGGAGTAGTGAAGAAGTTCTTACTGCAGAAGATTGTGAAAATGTCTATCATCTGGTTTATTCAGCTCATCGGCCAGTAGCAGTAGCAGCAGGAGAATTTCTGTACAAAAAGTAAATCTGCATTTCTATTGTTCATTTTCTAAAGTCACTTTAATGGCAGTAATTTACTGTTATAAAATATGTATAAATATGACTTATTAAAGATTTATTCAGTACAGGTCTTAAGCCTAGTTTTATTTATTTTAAAGTTTTTTGAATATAATAAAAGTACTTTGATAACAGTTTGATATAAGAACCACAAGAATCCTTTAGTCTCTTAACATTTATATTGCTATTTCACACTTCAGATTAGGTAGTAGCAGTGTGAATATCTGATCACTGAAAATATTCAGCAGATATCATGTAATGGTTTTAAAGAAAATGGAAACATATGGACTAAATTATACCTTTGTAAGGTTTTATTAAAATGCTCATTTGAGGTGACAGGTTTATTAAGAGTACATGATACAAAGTATTTATGCTACAATTTTTTATTCATTATTATCCAGTGATAACTTTTTTGTTGTTTATAAGAATGATCATGATATCCATAGAAAAAGGCCACTAAGTTCAGACTTTGGGATAATTGTGCAGGAAGGATAGGAGGAAAAGATATGTCATTTTAAGGAGAAGAATATTTGTAATATATGTGCATAAATGGTATAGGTTAGTTATTGTGTTACTTTTGTAAAAAGAAATAATTGTATAACATGCCGTAAGATATTCAAAAAGAAATCATTCAGAAACATTTAGAAGTACCATCAAGTGTGAAATGGAAAAGGTTTATAGCAGTTACTTGGGTATAATGTTGGACAGTACTGTACCTACCTGGCTCCAATTTATTCCTCTGTTAGTTGCTTAAAGATGGAATCCAGACAGGTTTTTAAAATTTCTTAATTAAGAAATATTTTTGTTTGTTTTAAAAGTATTTTGCATTGATCTTAGGCTCTTTAGTCGTCGAGATCCAGAGGAGGATGGAATGATGAAAAGAAGGGGACGACAGGGTCCAAATGCCAACCTTGTTAAGACATTGGTTTTTTTCTTTCTGGAAAGTGAGGTTAGTTGATGTTGTTCATTTTATACTTATGTTCAAAACAATTCAGAGATGGTGTTAAAATGATGTAAATCTTAAAATCTTCCAAATAGCACAGTAAGTGTTGGATGGATAACATAGAGTTGTACCAATTTATGTTAGTAAGATACTCAAATAATATGACTTATATGTAGTGCTAAGAGCATAAATTTTGGGAGCTAGAAAGACCTGATTACCAATTTGACTTCTCTACTTCATGTTAATATAACCTTGATTCAGTTACTTAACCTTTCTTAAGCCCATTTTCCTTTTAAATGTGTGGATAACAATTTCTTAGATAGCACTGAGATAACCCATATAAAACTATTAGCACAGATCTAGCATTTTGTTAGTTCCCAATATTTGGTACCTGTGATGATGATTGTTGTTGTTTTCTAGTATAGAGAAATACAGTTGGGTTTTGCATATTGACCTCTGACTGCAGTTTTGCTAAATTCACTTTTAAAGTAAGTTTTTATTAAAATTCTTAGGATTTTCTATAATATGCAATCAAGTCATTTGCAAGTAATGATAATGTTACTTTTTCCTTTCCTACATTTTTGCCATTTGTTTCCCCAGCCTTATTGTACTGGCTAGGACATTTAGTAGAATGTTGAATAGAAATGGTGAGAGAGGATAGATTTGATTGTTCCTGATCTTAAGGGAAAAGCACCCTGTATTTCAGCATTAATTATGTTTTTAGTTACAGGTGTTGTGTAGCTGCTTATTATATTGAGGATGTTTCCTCCTACCCCTTCTTTTGCTGAGAAGTTTTTTTTAAATTTTATTGAAACATAATTGATTCAGCAAAGTGACTCAGTTTATATACACAGACACACATATATACTTTCCACATTTTTTTCATTATGGTTTATCAAAGGATATTGAATACTTCCCTGTGCTATACTAGAACCTTCTTTTTTACCCCTCTTATATATAATGACTTGCATCTGCTAATCCCAAGCACCAAGTTCTTCTCTTCCCCATCTCTTCCTCTGCCTTGGCAACCACAAGTCTATTCTCTATGTCTGTAAGTCTGTTTTTGTTTTGTAGATAAGTTTGTATCATATTTTAGATTCTACATATACGTGATACCATATGGTATTTGTCTTTTTCTTTCTGACTTTGCTTAGTATGCTAATCTCTGGGTCCATCCGTGTTGTTGCAAATGGCCTTATTTCATTATCTTAACAACTGGACTGCTAGGGAGGTCCCTGTACCACAGCTTCCATTCATCTGTTGATGGATGTTTAATTTGTTTCCCTATCTTGGCAATTGAAAATAGTGCTGCTATGAACATAGGGGTGCGTGCATCTTTTCAAATTATAGTTTTTCTGGATATATGCCCAGGAGTGGGATTGCTGAATTATATGGCAACTCTCTTTTTAGTTTTTTGAGGAACCTCCATACTGTTCTCTATATTGACTGCACCAATTTACATTTTCACCAACATTGTAGAAGGGTTCCCTTTTCTCCACATCCTTTTCAGCCTTTTATTATTTGTAGACATGGCCATTCTGAGCAGTGTGAGGTCGTACCTCATTGTAGTTTGATTTGCATTTCTCAAATAATTAGCAATGATAAGCTGCTTTTCCTGTGCCTCTTGGCCATCTGTATGTTTTTGGAGAAATGTCTGTTTCGATGTTCTGTCCATTTTTTGATTAGATTGTTTGTTTGTTTTTGATATTGAGTTGTATGAGTTGTTTGTATATTCTGTCAATTAAGCCCTTGTCCATCACATTGTTTGCAAATGTTTTCTCCCAGTCATTAGGTTATCTTTTCATTTTGTTTATGCTTTCCTTTGCTATGCAAAAGCTTATAAGTTTGAATAGGTTGCATTTGTTTGCTTTTGTTTTTATTTCTTTTGCCTTGAGAGATTGACCTAAGAACACTATGATTTATGTCAGAGAATGTTTTCTTCTAGGAGTTTTATGTTGTCCTATCTTATATTTAAGTCTTTAAGCCATTTTGAGTTTATTTCTCTGTGTGGTGAGAGGGTGTGTTCTAGCTTCTTTGGTTTACTTGAGGCTGTCCAGCTTTCCCAACACCACTTGCTGAAGAGACTCTTTTTTCCATTGAATATTCTATTCTCACTTGTCAAATAATGATTGTCCATAAGTGTGTGGGTGCTGAGAAGTTTTATCATGAGTGGATGTTGAGTTCTGTCCAGTGCTTTTTCTTTATCTTTTATTTTATCTTTCATTACATTAATGTGGTAAATTATATTGATTGGTTTTTTGAATGTTGACTCAACCTTGCATTCCTAGGATAACCTAACCTCTATTTAGTTGTGATCTGTTATCCTTTTTATATATTGTTGGTTTCAGTTTACTGATTTTTTGGAGAATGTTTTCTCCATGTTCATGCAGTGTGTTGGTATCTGTGTATTTAAGTGTCTTTGATGGGTTTTGGTATCATGGTAATGCTTGTCTCCTAAAATGAGTTGGATAGCTGTTCAGTTCAGTTCAGTCACTCAGTCGTGTCCGACTGTTTGTGACCCCATGAATCGCAGCACACCAGGCCTCCCTGTCCATCACTAGGACAGGGAGTTATTCAAACTGGAGTAAACTCAAACTTCTGGAGTTTACTCAGACTCATGTCTTTTGAGTTGGTGGTGCCATCCGGCCATCTCATCCTCTGCCGTCCCCTTCTCCTCCTGCCCTCAATCTTTCCCAGCATCAGGGTCTTTTCTAATGAGTCAACTCTTCGCATGAGGTGACCAAAGTATTGGAGTTTCAGCTTCAGCATCAGTCCTTCCAATGAACACCCAGGACTGATCTCCTTTAGGATGGACTGGTTGGATCTCCTTGCAGTCCAAGGGACTCTCAAGAGTCTTCTCCAACATCACAGTTCAGAAGCATCAATTCTTCAGTGCTCAGCTTTCTTCACAGTCCAACTCTCAAATCCATACATGACCACTGGAAAAACCATAGCCTTGATTAGACGGACCTTTGTTGACAAAGTAATGTCTCTGCTTTTTAATATGCTATCTAGGTTGGTCATAACTTTCCTTCCAAGGAGTAAGTGTCTTTTAATTTCATGGCTGCAATCACCATCTGCAGTGATTTTGGAGCCCAGAAAAATAAAGTCTGATACTGTTTCCACTGTCTGCCCATCTATTTCCCATGAGGTGATGGGACCAGATGCCATGATCTTAGTTTTCTGAATGTTGAGCTTTAAGCCAGCTTTTTCACTCTCCTCTTTCACTTTCATCAAGAGACTCTTTAGTTCTTCCTCACTTTCTGCCATAAGGGTGGTGTCATCTGCATATCTAAGGTTATTGATATTTCTCCCAGCAATCTTGATTCCAGCTTGTGCTTCCTCCAGCCCAGCGTCTCTCATGATGTACTCTGCATAGCAGTTAAATAAGCAGGGTGACAATATACAGCCTTGACATACTCCTTTTCCTATTTGGAACCAGTCTGTTGTTCCATGTCGAGTTCTAACTGTTGCTTCCTGACCTGCATACAGATTTCTCAAGAGGCAGGTCAGGTGGTCTGGTACTGTAGTGCCCTTTAAAGCTTCACACACTGAAGAGAAATGATTTACTTATATAGTGAATTGATAAAGTGAAAAGTGAAAGAGGAGTCACTCAGTTGTGTCCAACTCTTTGCGACCCCATGGACTGTAGCCTATCAGGCTCCTCCGTCCGTGGGATTTTCCAGTCAAGAGTACTGGAGTTGGTTGCCGTTTCCTTCTTCTGGGGATCTTCCAGACCCAGGGATTGAACCCAGGTCCCCCGCATTGTAGGCAGATGCTTTTACCATCTGAGCCACCAGGGAAGTCAATGAATTGATAAGTAATCATGTATTTTATGTTTTACATAATCATTACCACTCCCATTATGTTACAATATATTTGTAGTGTATAACTGAGAGTTGTTCACTTATGTAATACAATTGCCAGCCCCCCACCCCATCTCTGCATTCTATATCCGCAGATTCAGCCAACAGGGGATTCAGCCAATAGTGGATTGAAAATATTATTTTAAAAATTCCAGAAGTTTGAAAAAACCAAACTTAAATTTGCCATGTACTGTCAACTATTCACATAGTATTTGCATTGTATTACGTATTATAAGTTATCTATAGTTGATTTAAACTATATGAAAGGATGAGAATAGGTTATGTGTAAATACTATACCATTTTACATCACTGGGCTTCCTTTGTGGCTCAGCTGGTAAAGGATGGGCCTGCAATGCAAGAGACCTGGGTTTGATCCTTGGGTTGGGAAGATCCACTGGAGAAGGGAAAGGCTACCCACTCCACTATTCTGGCCTGGAGAATTCCATGGATTGTAAAGTCCATGGGGTTGCAGAGAGGCGGACATGACTGAGCGATTTTCACCTTCACTTAACTTTATATCATTAACTTGAGCATCTTTGGAAAATCTATCTGTGGTCTTGGAAGTAGTCCCCCTCGGATACCAAGTGATGACTTTTTTTTTTTACAAATAAATAATACAGATATTTATTAGAGATTATCTAGTTTATTTTCAATATACTAACATTAAAAGAAAAGAGAAATAGACCAGAGAGTACATCACCAAATTTGGTTTTGACTCAAAGTCCTGTGTCACAGCACATCTGGGGTCCCAATTGGGACAGGGTCCCAGGCTGTGGGTGAGACTTCAAAGATTGCAGTTTGGAGTTCCCTTTTATAATCCCAGGATGGATGCAAACTGATATCTTCATCAGTCTGTGACCAGATTGCAAGCCTGGTTTTTTGTTCATGATGTTTGTTTTGTCTTGTAAAACTGCTGCTAAGCCTGGTGCTTGATTGGCCAGGCCCCCTCCAGGGCCTCAACAAGCTCAAGATTTCTTATCTATGGTGCTGCAAGTCTTGCACTCACAGCAGGCAGTCACTCAGTCAATTCCAGTCAGGGCGGTGTCCAGGCAGGTTAGAAGCATGGTCAGAGACCTGCTCTGCTTTGTCTCTGAAGCCTAAACAAGGCTATTCATTTCATTTCCCTAAAAGTCCCCAGGACTGTTTAGGCTGAAGAACACAGAAACAAGGCAAAGTAACACAAGCAGTCTTATTAATTCTGTAAGTAACAATGTAGAACATCATGTAGGTTTTAGTGAGAATAGTCTATTTATAGTATTTGATGGAGCGTTTCAGTAAGCAGAGTTCTCCAACTTGAGAAGTTGGTCCATACAGCAGTCCTTCTGTAGCCTTGTCATAGTCTGTCAGTAAATGGGTGCAGTTATCCAAGTCTAGATAATTAAACCACCTTTGCAAGAGGCTATGATTTTATGCTTCTGTTGGCCAGCAGTAGGGCAGGTGAAGTTGTCTTGGGTGTTGGGCAGATGATATTTTTGTATTACCATTTGAAGATCCATTTGCTGCATTCTCAAAGAAACACATTTAACAAGAGGGTTAAAGATGCATAAAAGTAGAACTGTCAAGGTGCCTAGAAGAAAGGCTAGCCAGGAGAAGTAGGACCAGACATTGGCCCATGATGTCAGTGTTTCTGTAGGTATGAGAAGATACAAGAATTTGTGCTCATAAAAAAGAAAAAATCTTTGCCTGAAAACGTCTGACTATCTGAAGGCCTATTCTGTCCATTTTTCCCAGAGCACAGATTGAGTGTCTTAATTTCTGATATCCATCCTGAATTCCTTTTAGGAGGTGTTGAAATTCAGCAGTTGTAGTGGCCATGATTTAATCTTTTCAGAGGTAGTCTGCAAGAGCCAGTTTCCAGTTGGCAGGGCCCCTTCATTGCCACAGATTTGACCATACTTTGGGGGGCATTTCATGGCTGTTGTGTCCCATGGTGCTGGAAAGGCTCAATACCAGGTCTGGCGAAGATTCCATTGATAAGCCACTCTGTGCTGTCATTGGACTAGGCCCTGTGAATAGCAAAAGTCTCCAGACCATTCCTGTTTTGCTAACCTCTTGATCCAGGAAGATATGGGAAGAGGCAGCAAGAGGGAATATCTAGAGTTACATTATTGTGATCATTGATCTTCTGTGGAACTATATATATCATTTTATCAGTGGCTCAGTCACATACTTGGAAATGTAAAAGACAGCAATTTTGTGAAACAGTCAACATAGAAAATAATACAACTAGCAGTTATTAGTAAGGTCACAAGTAAGAATTTAAGTCAAGAACTTTCATTAGGTATAGCTCAGTGTACCCGAGGTCATCTGACTTAGTTAAATGATTATATTCAGGTGTTAATCCCCTGGTTGTACATCATGGAGCGTTTAATCTTTATCTAAAGCTTGACTGCTGATATAAGCTTTAGAAACAAAATTAGAGTGTCCTTTTAACAACTTAATTAAATTTTTAATAATATAACAACAAGGAACTATCTCAGAAGTGAGGAACAAAACTAGGATTTAATGTTCAGTGAAACATAAACATTTTTCTTTGTGAGGGCATTAACCCTGCAGCCAGGGAATGCTTTATCCCATCAAATAAAAATGAGGTTTGTCAGGGAGCCAGGAAAAGCCAAGTGGCAGTCTTGGATTTCCCTTAGCCCTGACTGTTTGATTTACAGCCGTTGCTTGCCCATTTTAAATTCCCCAATTTAGGAGTAGACTATTTGCCATGTTTTAAGGGCATCAGGATAGCAGTAATTTGACAGTGAGGGGTTAATTTTGTAGAAGCAGAAGAAGCTTTATCTACATGTACTATAATCTTCATAGAGAATGCTTGCTTACTTTACCAAAATAACAAAAGATTTTTAAAACAAATATAAATCACTTAAAGGCAAAAAATTCACAATCTCTTATCAGTGACTCAGAAGGTCTTAATTAGATTAGCAAACAAGCATTAATACTAGATATTTAATATTGAATATGTCGCAGTTCACGTGAAGCTGAAATTCATTTAGGTTAATTTCTCTTGTAATTGTTTGATTTGTAAGCGCTTACTTTTCTTTAAGCCAATTGAATTAGAGCTCATTTACAAATTAACCTCATATTATCCAAAAACAAAAATACACACTGAGACATAGATAAATCCAGACAGACAGACAGGATCTCATAGTTTTCCACTTGAGATTTAAAATGTCTCTTTGACTCTTTTCTGTCTTGCCCTTTTTCTTTTTTTAACCTTGGCTTGAAATTTCCATTTGCCCAAAGCTGAGGTCTCGGGCACATTGGGCTCTGTATTTCAAGGACATGGCAAAGGTTGTGTGCTGTCCTAAATTGCTTCAGTCCTCTCAAACTCTTTGTGACCCCATGGACTGTAGCCCACCAGGGCTCCAACTGTAAGTTAAATTCCTCTGCCCAGGGGATTCCTTGAGGGGATCTTCCAAACCCTGTGATTGAACCCTTGTCTCTTGCATATCCTGCATTGGCAGACAGATACCTTACCACTAGTATCATCTGGAAAGCCCAGGCAAAGGTTAACTTCAAGCTTTTTTCTAGGCAGACCTTTTTAAAAAGCTAGCTGTTTTTAATTGCATATGTAAAAAGAACTGGTTTTGCAGTTTCAAAAAAAAAAAAGAAAAAAAATAATTTTAACAACTTCTCTCCAGAGTCTAAAGAATACCATGGCCATCCTGTGCCAAAAAAGTCATCTTGCCTTTCTGTTCAGTTTGGTCGAGTCCGACTCTTTGCGACCCCATGGACTGCAGCACGCCAGGCCTCCCTGTCCATCACCAACTCCTGGAGTTTACTCAAACTCGTGTCCATTGTGTCGGTGATCCCTCTGTCGTCCCCTTATCCCCTTTCCCAGCATCAGGGTCTTTTCTAATGAGTCAGTTCTTCACATCAGGTGGCCAAAGTATTGGAGTTTCAGCTTCAGCATCAGTCCTTCCAATGAATATTCAGGACTGATTTCCTTTAAGATGGACTGGTTGGATCTCCTTGCAGTCCAAGGGACTCTCAAGAGTCTTCTCTAACACCACAGTTCAAAAGCATCAATTCTTTGGCGCTCAGCTTTCTTTATAGTCCAACTCTCACATCCATACATGACCACTGGAAAAACCATAGCCTTGACTAGATGGACCTTTGTTGGTAAAGTAATGTCTCTGCTTTTTAATAAGCTGTCTAGGTTGATCATAACTTTTCTTCCAAGGAGCAAGTGTCTTTTAATTTCATGGCTGCAATCACCATCTGCAGTGATTTTGGAGCCCAAGAAAATAAAGTCTGCCACTGTTTCTCCATCTGTTTGCCCTGAAGTGATGTGACCAGATGCCATGATCTTGGTTTTCTGAATGTTGAGTTTTAAGCCAACTTTTTCACTCTCTTCTTTCACTTTCATCAAGAGGCTCTTTAGTTCTTTGCTTTCTGCTATAAGGGTGGTGTCATCTGCATATCTGAGGTTATTGATATTTATCCTGGCAATCTTTTGTTTCTGTATCCATAGTTTTATAGCTAAAATATTGACCGAATAGTGCTCAAGTTGACTCTGAACAGGGCAGGAAAAAAATAATTGCTAAAGTGGGGGAAGGAGTGGAGGAAGTTGGGCTTACCCTCCCCGCACTGATAGATTGGAAAAGTTAGAAGGGGATTAGCTGATGGAGAGGGAGACAGAGGCAGATGGAGGGGTGTAAGGCAGCAACAGGGCAAAGAAAGGCAAAAGAAAGGGGAGTGGGGGACACTGGGAGAGCCGACTTAAATAGTGATTTGATTAACTAAAATAGAAGTTTGGCATTGTAACATGGACAATTGTCCTCAAAAATCACATAATTCTTTTTCCAATTATGTCTAACTTCTCATTAGACAATTTAAAGTTAAATTCATGTACCTTACGGTAGGGAGAGGACCATCCAGCCTCTCACCTAGCGCGGCACATTCTTAACCTTTCTCAGTCAGGACAAGCCGCAAAATTTAAGGTTCCAATTCTCACACAGTTCAGTGAATACCGTTCACTAGCTAACGAGCAATAAGGTGAATCTTCCAATCTGGGAATAAAAACTTCATCAACCTTAATCTCTTTTTTCCTTAAAGAGTGGCATTTTGTCTCACAAATCCTGCTCACAGCGCCAGTTAATGTTTTGCAGAGAGTTTACACTTTCGTTTCAGGTTCAAAGGATTTGTTAACAAAATAAGCCACTCGTTATATACAAATAAATAATACAGATATTTATGAAAGAACTGTCTAGCTTACTTTCAATATACTAACATTAAAAGAAAAGAGAAATAGACAGAGCAGAAAGTACATCACCAAATTGGGTTTTGACCAACATTCAGACTTAAACAGCGCTGGGAAGTCCCGTGTCACAGCACATCTGGAGTCCCGTTTGGGAAAGGGTCCCAGGGAGTGCGTTCACTCCGTGGGTGAGACTTCAAACAAGATGACTGTTTTGAGTCAGGTAATAACTAAATGCATGCATATAGTCTCTTCAAAAACAATTTTCATATTAATGCTTATTGTGAGAAATGGTAATACCTAACAGTGTTTACTTACACTTAGCAAGCTAAGGCAATTCTTCTCTTTCCTTTCTTCCACTTGACATTAAAAAACATTGTTGTTTGAGTTTGTGTATGGTACCAACAAAGCTTCCATTCTTTTGATTAAGGCTAGTATGATATTTGTTTAAGAGCACATTGTTCTTTTTAAATTTTAGTTACATGAGCATGCAGCATACCTTGTGGATAGTATGTGGGACTGTGCTACTGAGCTGCTGAAAGACTGGGAATGTATGAATAGCTTGTTGCTGGAGGAGCCACTTAGTGGAGAGGAAGGTAAGGATGTTTAATTATGGTATTTTTGTTGTCTAGGCAATTTTGAAAACAGATTTTACTTATTCCATTTATTTATCTCTTAGCATTAAAATAGTTGATTCAGAGTCTTTGGGTAATTTTGTTTTCATACACATGAATATTAGAAAGGTATAGTTCCTGTCAACATTTATTATGTTTCATTGTATTTTATGTTTTTGCATCTGTTCATATTTTCATTTCTCAAATTGTGGACTGGTAGTTTACAAATTTATAATGTTTAGTAAGTTTTAACTTGTTCCGGTCCTTTTTGTGATATAGTAATAGGATTTTCTTTAGTACATTAGGTCAGATTCTGTCACAAGCACAAGAACTGTTATGTAATGATTATAAATGGCATATAGAGAAAAAAATAGGTTAACTCTTTCTGATTATTTTTTTCCCAGCACTAACAGACAGACAAGAGAGTGCTCTGATTGAAATAATGCTTTGTACCATTAGACAAGCTGCTGAATGTCATCCTCCTGTGGGGAGAGGGACAGGAAAAAGGGTACGCCAACATATTTTCAGTATTCTAAATTATATGTCTCTTTTTAAATATTTTTTATAGTTCTTATTTGTGTCTATATAATCAAATCTTTGAATCTTAAATTTTATTTTTTCGGTGATCTTTGCTTATAAATATGTTAGAAGTAAATTTTAAAGCATTAGCAGTTTGGGAAGTCTGCTTTCCTTCTATAAGATACTTTGTTAGTTTACTACAGTGATTGTCAGTCCCTGTAAAGATTGCCTGCTGTGCATCATTTTAGAATGATGTATTTGTCTGTTTTGATTTATTTACAAATTGACTTTCTTTTAATAAAAGTAAGATCATCATCCATTAAAATGGGGGAAATATCTGTTTCCTGGGACTAAATTTTATTGCATTATTTCAAAGTTCACATGTATTGTAGACCAACAGTTTCACAGGCTTTCAAACTTTTGTGATGCACAAAAATAATCTTTATATTGTGACCTAGTACACATCTATATGTGTTTTTGTATATAACTGAAGCAGTTATACAATATAAGTTAAAATACTACAACTTATGTGATGCATTCAATTCTTTTTATTGTTATTGTTCTTTTTCAATTACTAGTAGTTAATTATATTGAATTCATAACCCATGGATCATGGCACAACTTACAGTTGACTGAAATCCTACTCACTTCCATGACTATATAAGCTAATGAACTGTATTTCCTATCTGCTTTTCTTTTCATCCAAAGTTAGGGTAGGTTAGTCTAATGTGGTATTGATTTTGTCTCTAGAACTATTCAAAGATTTTTAAAAAAACAATGTGCAGGCTATTCTCTTTGTTACTTCTGGGTTTCAAGTTTTATAGTAGAAATTTTTATATCCATCATTTAAAATGTCATTTTATTACCTATTTTTAATATTTTAACTTGAGCACCTAACTGTCAATGGGCTTATTAATAAATACTTGGAAACTGTTGTATTTCCTTAGGTGCTTACAGCAAAGGAGAAGAAGACCCAGTTGGATGACAGGACAAAAATCACTGAACTTTTTGCTGTGGCCCTTCCTCAGTTATTAGCTAAGGTAAGTTTGTGTCAGTATCAAGAGTGTTGTTAAGAAATTACAGGGTTTGTTTGGAAATGCCATACAGAATTTTCTACTTATCATAATATTTCCTTACCATTATTGTGATGTTTTTGACATGATTTTTTTTATTTCAAAGTACTCTATAGATGCTGAAAAGGTGACTAACTTGTTGCAGTTGCCGCAGTACTTTGATTTGGAAATATATACCACTGGACGATTAGAAAAGGTAGGGTGTTTCTGTGTATAATAAACCTTGAAGAAAAATTGTTAATATAGTTCATCCCATCATATTGCTTATTTATATTTTTTGAAATTTTTTATAGCATTTAATATAAAGGAAAGCCTATATCTTGTATGCCTTACATATTTTAGATAAGTTGGATTTAGAGAATGGCACTAATGAGGTTTTCCTTTGATTCATGTTGATAGCAGTACCCTCCTTCCTAGACATTACGTTACTGTGTCACTGACCATTTATGGAGATGGGAGGTGGGTAACTGGATAAGAACAATTGCAAAATGAAACAGCTAATGTTCATTGAATGCATTTACTATGTTCCAGGAACATATATATTTATATGTATTAACATCTTACCAAAGCTCTGTGAGATAGGTAATATTATTCCTGTTGAAGTAGGGGAAGTAAGTTTGGGTGGGTTAGTGAATTTTTTTACTTTGACTAGAAAAACTTAAAATGTATGTGCTACTGTTGTAAAGTTACTGTATTTGAAGCTTTTCACCCCAGTTGTACAGTTATTTTATTCCTGTCATCATACATACCTTAGTTTTAATGAAGAAATTTTGATTTTGCAGCATTTGGATGCCTTATTACGACAGATCCGGAATATTGTAGAGAAGCACACAGATACAGATGTTTTGGAAGCATGTTCTAAAACTTACCATGCACTCTGTAATGAAGAGTTCACAATTTTCAACAGAGTAGATATTTCAAGAAGTCAACTGATAGATGAGTTGGCAGATAAATTTAACCGGCTTCTTGAAGATTTTCTGCAAGAGGTATGTATTACAAGTATTTTGTCAGTTGTCCCCCACTGTGGCCCCACCCCCCCGACCCTCTCCATAACTAGGTCAGTCACAGTCTTGGTGATAGTCCTTAGTAGTATGTTGAAAAGACATTCAGACTTTCTGTTCTGTGATTCTGTTTTTTCTCCACCAAGAGAGGGAGGTGGCAAGAATCTGTAACTTAAGAGATGGTGAAAGCAAAATTAGCACCTTTCCTTTTTAATTTAAAGAAATGATCTGGAAAGTTTCCAGGCTTTAGTTGAACAGGAGGAAGCTGTTAGGGAACAGGGAACAGAAAAGTTGAGCTAGATTGTTTCCATGTAACCTCAAAAATTGAGTTATTTCTTAATGGTTTGGAAGTTGATTTATTTATGGTCTTTGATATTATAAAGCCTTGATAAATTACAGCAGCTGTTCATTTTGGTGTTTGATTGTTCAGTTCTATTTCCAAAGAAGCTTAAGCATGATATTCAAATACACTTGTATTTTTATTGTGATTTTTATCTTTTCTGGAAAGATATACTCAACAGTTTAGTTTATTTGCATAAAGTAAAAACTCATGATTCTCAGTTATTGCATTTAGGTTTTTCCACATCACATTTGCAATAAATTCTGCAAAAATGATACGGAGTTTTGTAATTTCCAATTATTTTGTTTAACAGTTCTTAAACTTACTTCTCTGTGTAACATTTCATGCTTACTAAGTTTTTTTTAATTGGAGGTTTGTATAATATGTTGATGTATGATTATTATATTTTTAGTTAAAAATTTTAATGGCTCTACCCTTGGCTGGATATGATTCTTTTTTTTTTTTAAGGTTTATATTGGAGTGTAGCTGATTAACAATGGTGTGTTAGTTTTAGGTGGACAACAAAGAGACTTAGGCATACATATACATGTATTCATTCTCCCTCCAAACACCCCTCCCATCCATGCTGCCACATAACATTAAATAGAGTTCCCCATGCTATCCAGTAGAACCTATACAGTTAGCCATTTTAAATATAGCAGTGTGTACCTGTCCATCCCAAACTCCCTACTTATCCTTTCCCTCCATCCTTCTCCCACCTGGCAATCATAAGTTTGTTCTTTTAGTCTGTTTCTGTTTTTTAATAAGTTCATTCGTATCATTTCTTTTTAGACTCTGCACATAAAGGATGTCATACATTTCCCCTTCTCTTTCTGACTTACTTTACTCAGCATGACAACTCAGCATGACAATATCTAGGTCCATCCATGTGGCTGTAAATGGCATTACTTCACTCTTTTTTCATGGCTGAGTAATATTCCATTGTATATATGTACCACATCTTCTTTATCCATTCTTCTCTCTGATGGACATTTAGGTTGCTTCTGTGTCTTGGCTACTGTCAACAGTGCTGCAACGAACATTGGGGTGCATATATCCTTTTGGACTGTGTATTTCTCTGGGTACCTTCCCAGGAGTGGGATTGCTAGATCATATGATAGCTCTACTTTTAGTTTTTTTTAGGAACCTTCTTACTGTTCTCCATAGTGGCTATACCAGGTTTCGTCCCACAGATTCCCTTCTCTCCACACCCTCTCCAGCCTTTACTGTTTATAGATTTTTTTTGATGGTAGCCATTTTGACTGAGGTGAAGTGATACCTCATTATAGTTTTGATTTGCATTCCTCTTAATAATTAACAATGTTGAGAATCTTTTCATGTGCCTCTTGGCCATCTGTATGTCTTCTTTGGAGAAATGTCTGTTTAGTTCTTCTGCCTGTTTTTTGATTCAGTTGTTTGTTTTGATGATAATTAAACATCATGAGCTGTTTGTAATTTTAGAGACTTAAGGCCTTGTTGATCACATTATTTGCAAATATTTTCTCCAATCTGTGGGTGGTGTTTTGTTTATTATTTCCTTTGCTACGCAAAAGCTTTTGATTTTAAATAGGTCTTTGTTTATTTTTGTTTTTATTTTCATTATTCTGGGAGATGGGTTGAAAAAGATACTACTGTGATCTTTTATGTTATACTTTCTTTTTAGGGTGGTATCATAAATGTAATAGCTTAAGATTTTTCACTTTTGTAATTATTAATGTTTGATATGGTATAATTAACATTTATAGGGCGAAGAACCTGATGAAGATGATGCATATCAGGTATTGTCAACATTGAAGCGAATCACTGCTTTTCATAAGTAAGTTGAATCTTAAAGTTTCTGATTTTTTAAAACTTATCAAAATCAGAACCAACTTACATGTTTTGGGATTATAATGTCATAATTTTTGCTGGGTTTCTTGTGCTTTTGGGGGAAAAGTGTTTGGAGTCATACTTTAAATATGAGAAAGAAAAAAAAATTCAACTAATATACTTTCTTAAAGTACACATTTTTTTGTTCTTGTGAGTACATGTTAGGAAGTTTAGTATATTTTACTTTAACAGTATTCTGTTAGCAGTCAAGTCCAGAACAGATGTGATTAAACTTAAATTTTTAATATAACTTAATTCTTTTTTTTACAGTGCCCATGATCTTTCAAAGTGGGATTTGTTTGCTTGTAATTACAAACTGTTGAAAACCGGAATTGAAAATGGAGACATGCCTGAACAGGTTTTTATTTATTTACAAGTCATATATTTCACTTTGAGAATGAAGATATGTGACTTTTAAAATTAATTGTGTTCTTTTTGCTCCTTTATAGATTGTTATTCATGCACTGCAGTGTACTCACTATGTAATCCTTTGGCAGCTTGCGAAGATAACTGAAAGCAGCTCTACAAAGGTTTGTGGTGGTTCAGTGGCTTTATTAAATATTACTAAGTTTTCAGCAAACTTAAACATAAGACCGATTATTTCAATAAAGTCTTGCTTATCTTCTATTTTGAAAATAGTTATTTGTAGTTATATATTCTGTGAAAGAACATTAAACATTTGTTGAGAGAATGGTTTTAAAATAAAAAGTCACATTTGTAGGTGGCATAATTTATGGATTTCCACATCATTCTCAAAAGCTCTGGAAGCATGAAGAACTATAGATTTTGTAAATCATGGCCAAGAACCTTCAAAACATACAGATACAACTATTGAGTTCCATAAGTTAATTATTACAAGCTACCTGTCCCTAGATCTTACACCTTGGTATTGTTTAGGGATCATCTTATTTATACTCGGATCTCTCTGCTGATGTTCCAAATTCATGAAAAATCATTTTGTGGTTGAGTGCAGTATGCCAGCTACTAGGTCATAGAACTTTCAACATTTTATCCATAATTGTAATCATTGATGTGTTTAGTAATTGAACTAAACAGTACTGACTTTTTCATTTGTAAATTAGAAACTTAAACATCGTACTTGTTGCAGTAGATATTGCCTTAAATATTATTTGAGCACATTTTTATAAGCATTAAGTAATTTCTGTAAGATGTAGAGTTAGTTGTTTGTAGTTATTTTCCTCAAGAAGGAATCCTCTCGATGTTTGTCTTACATAAAATCACAGAATAACTTTAGAAATTTTTTGAGGTTTTTAAGTACATGATGCTGTTATATCTACAAATGGATATTTGCCTCTGGCAGAGAACAATATAGTACTAGTATACTTTTTGTCAGACACTCAAAAACTTTATTTAATTCAATGTCAAACTTGTAGTAGGTCCAGTGACTATGTATTAGCAGATATGATTGCTCACCTAAATCAAAAGCATTGAGTTAAAAATTAACATGGGAAAAAGGTAATACGTTTAGTAGAGGGGAAAAGGGTAAAAATGAAAGTTATTATATACAAAATTATTATGCTGAACTTGGTTGAGTTTTCTTTACCAAAGCGATCTCCAAGTTAAATCTGTTATTTTAACTTGTCTATTACATACACTGAATTTGTACTGACATTCTGTCGTTTGGAATTCAGTATCAGGAGATTGGCAAAGGTAATGCCTCAAATAAATTAGTGTGGATGATCTTTATACAGTGTTTTTCTGTTTTAAGTTAATTGGTAAATATTTATAAAAAGAAAAAAACTTCTTTAAAAAAATCTAGAACAAGATTCATCCTTTTAGTGTAGGTTTACTAGAGACTTAAGTTGTTTTTTTTTTTCCTTAAGTGGAGTAATACTGTGAAACTAATTTTTGTTAGGCCCCTCTCTGTTTTTAAAAGCACAGTCAGTATCCTACAAATGAAAGATACTGTCCCCTTTTTAAAAATCATTTAATTTATTCCATTCATCACTTGGCCAGCCATCAAATTGCAAAGCAAGGATGGAGCGTAAATCCTATTAAACATTCTGAAGCAGTGGATTTATATGGATAGCCATATATAGTCATATAAGTTTTTTCTCATTCTAAAGCTCATTTAGGATTTTATCCATTAATATACTTGGTATTTTTTTTTTATTTAATTAATTTATTTTTTTTTTATCACAACCATAGTGTATCTTTTTTTTTTTTTTTTTTACATGTATTCCCCATCCCGGTCCCCCCTCCCACCTCCCTCTCCACCCAATCCCTCTGGGTCTTCCCAGTGCACCAGGCCCGAGCACTTGTCTCATGCACCCAACCTGGGCTGGTGAACTGTTTCACCCTAGATAATATACGTGTTTCAATGCTGTGCTCTTGAAACATCCCACCCTCGCCTTCTCCCAGAGTCCACAAGTCTGTTCTATACATAGGAGTCTCTTTTTCTGTTTTGCACATAGGGTTATCGTTACCATCTTTCTAAATTCCATATATATGTGTTAGTATACTGTAATGGTCTTTATCTTTCTGGCTTACTTCGCTCTGTATAATGGGCTCCAGTTTCATCCATCTCATTAGAACTGATTCAAATGAATTCTTTTTAATGGCTGAGTAATATTCCATGGTGTATATGTACCACAGCTTCCTCATCCATTCATCTGCTGATGGGCATCTAGGTTGCTTCCATGTCCTGGCTATTATAAACAGTGCTGCGATGAACATTGGGGTACACGTGTCTCTTTCAGATCTGGTTTCCTCGGTGTGTATGCCCAGAAGTGGGATTGCTGGGTCATATGGCAGTTCTATTTCCAGCTTTTTAAGAAATCTCCACACTGTTTTCCATAGTGGCTGTACTAATTTGCATTCCCACCAACAGTGTAAGAGGGTTCCCTTTTCTCCACACCCTCTCCAGCATTTATTGCTTGTAGACTTTTGGATAGCAGCCATCCTGACTGGTGTGTAATGGTACCTCATTGTGGTTTTGATTTGCATTTCTCTGATAATGAGTGATGTTGAGCATCTTTTCATGTGTTTGTTAGCCATCTGTATGTCTTCCTTGGAGAAATGTCTGTTCAGTTCTTTGGCCCATTTTTTGATTGGGTCATTTATTTTTCTGGAGTTGAGCTGGAGGAGTTGCTTGTATATTTTTGAGATTAATCCTTTGTCTGTTGCTTCATTTGCTATTATTTTCTCCCAATCTGAGGGCTGTCTTTTCACCTTGCTTATAGTTTCCTTTGTTGTGCAAAAGCTTTTAAGTTTCATTAGGTCCCATTTGTTTATTTTTGCTTTTATTTCTAAAATTCTGGGATGTGGGTCGTAGAGGATCCTGCTGTGATTTATGTCGGAGAGTGTTTTGCCTATGTTCTCCTCTAGGAGTTTTATAGTTTCTGGTCTTACATTTAGATCTTTAATCCATCTTGAGTTTATTTTTGTGTATGGTGTTAGAAAGTGTTCTAGTTTCATTCTTTTACAGGTGGTTGACCAGTTTTCCCAGCACCACTTGTTAAAGAGGTTGTCTTTTTTCCATTGTATATCCTTGCCTCCTTTGTCAAAGATAAGGTGACCATAGGTTCGTGGATTTATCTCTGGGCTTTCTATTCTGTTCCATTGATCTATATTTCTGTCTTTGTGCCAGTACCATACTGTCTTGATGACTGTGGCTTTGTAGTATAGTCTGAAGTCAGGCAGATTGATTCCTCCAGTTCCATTCTTCTTTCTCAGGATTACTTTGGCTATTCGAGGTTTTTTGTATTTCCATACAAATTGTGAAATTATTCGTTCTAGTTCTGTGAAAAATATCGTTGGTAGTTTGATAGGGATTGCATTGAATCTGTAGATCACTTTGGGTAGTATAGCCATTTTGACAATATTGATTCTTCCAATCCATGAACACGGTATATTTCTCCATCTGTTTGTGTCCTCTTTGATTTCTTTCATCAGTGTTTTATAGTTTTCTATGTATAGGTCTTTTGTTTCTTTAGGTAGATATACTCCTAAGTATTTTATTCTTTTTGTTGCAATGGTGAATGGTATCGTTTCCTTAATTTCTCTTTCTGTTTTCTCATTGTTAGTGTATAGGAATGCAAGAGATTTCTGTGTGTTAATTTTATATCCTGCAACTTTACTGTATTCGTTGATTATCTCTAGTAATTTTCTGGTAGAGTCTTTAGGATTTTCTATGTAGAGGATCATGTCATCTGCAAACAGCGAGAGTTTCACTTCTTCTTTTCCTATCTGGATTCCTTTTACTTCTTTTTCTGCTCTGATTGCTGTGGCCAAAACTTCCAAAACTATGTTGAATAGTAGTGGTGAGAGTGGGCACCCTTGTCTTGTTCCTGATTTCAGGGGAAATGCTTTCAGTTTTTCACCATTGAGGGTGATGCTTGCTGTGGGTTTGTCATATATAGCTTTTATTATGTTGAGGTATGTTCCTTCTATTCCTGCTTTCTGGAGAGTTTTAATCATAAATGGATGTTGAATTTTATCAAAGGCTTTTTCTGCATCTATTGAGATAATCATATGGTTTTTATCTTTCAATTTGTTAATGTGGTGTATTACATTGATTGATTTGCGGATATTAAAGAATCCTTGCATTCCTGGGATAAAGCCCACTTGGTCATGATGTATGATTTTTTTAATATGTTGTTGGATTCTGTTTGCTAGAATTTTGTTAAGGATTTTTGCATCTATATTCATCAGTGATATTGGCCTGTAGTTTTCTTTTTTTGTGGCATCTTTGTCTGGTTTTGGAATTAGGGTGATGGTGGCCTCATAGAATGAGTTTGGAAGTTTACCTTCTTCTGCAATTTTCTGGAAGAGTTTGAGTAAGATAGGTGTTAGCTCTTCTCTAAATTTTTGGTAGAATTCAGCTGTGAAGCCATCTGGTCCTGGGCTTTTGTTTGCTGGAAGGTTTCTGATTACAGTTTCGATTTCCTTGCTTGTGATGGGTTTGTTAAGATCTTCTATTTCTTGCTGGTTCAGTTTTGGAAAGTTATATTTCTCTAAGAACTTGTCCATTTCTTCCAAGTTGTCCATTTTATTGGCATAGAGCTGCTGGTAGTAGTCTCTTATGATCCTTTGTATTTCAGTGTTGTCTGTTGTGATCTCTCCATTTTCGTTTCTAATTTTGTTAATTTGGTTCTTCTCCCTTTGTTTCTTAATGAGTCTTGCTAATGGTTTGTCAATTTTGTTTATTTTTTCAAAAAACCAGCTTTTAGCTTTGTTAATTTTTACTATGATCTCTTTAGTTTCTTTTGCATTTATTTCTGCCCTGATTTTTAAGATTTCTTTCCTTCTACTAACCCTGGGGTTCTTCATTTCTTCCTCCTCTAGTTGCTTTAGGTGTAGAGTTAGGTTATTTATTTGACTTTTTTCTTGTTTCTTGAGGTAGGCCTGTAATGCTATGAATCTTCCCCTTAGCACTGCCTTTACAGTGTCCCATAGGTTTTGGGTTGTTGTGTTTTCATTTTCATTCATTTCTATGCATATTTTGATTTCTTTTTTGATTTCTTCTATGATTTGTTGGTTATTCAGAAGCGTGTTGTTTAGCCTCCATATGTTTGAATTTTTAATAATTTTTTTCCTGTAATTAAGATCTAATCTTACTGCACTGTGGTCAGAAAAGATGACTGGAATGATTTCAATCTTTTTGAATTTACCAAGACTAGATTTATGGCCCAGGATGTGATCTATTCTGGAGAAGGTTCCGTGTGCACTTGAGAAAAAGGTGAAGTTGATTGTTTTGGGGTGAAACGTCCTATAGATGTCAATTAGGTCTAGCTGGTCCATTGTGTCCTTTAAAGTTTGTGCTTCTTTGTTCATTTTCTGTTTAGTTCATCTATCCATAGTTGTGAGTGGGGTATTAAAGTCTCCTACTATTATTGTGTTACTATTAATTTCCTCTTTCATACTCGTTAGCGTTTGCCTTACATATTGCGGTGCTCCTATGTTGGGTGCATATATATTTATAATTGTTATATCTTCTTCTTGGATTGATCCTTTGATCATTATGTAGTGTCCATCTTTGTCTCTTTTCACAGCCTTTATTTGAAAGTCTATTTTATCTGATATGAGTATTGCGACTCCTGCTTTCTTTTGGTCTCCGTTTGCGTGGAATATTTTTTTCCAGCCCTTCACTTTTAGTCTGTATGTGTCCCTTGCTTTGAGGTGGGTCTCTTGTAGACAGCATATATAGGGGTCTTGCTTTTGTATCCATTCAGCCAGCCTTTGTCTTTTGGTTGGGGCATTCAACCCATTTACATTTAAGGTAATTATTGATAGGTATGGTCCCGTTGCCATTTATTTTGTTGTTTGGGGTTCACGTTTATACCACCTTTCTGTGTTTCCTGTCTAGAGAAGATCCTTTAATATTTGTTGAAGAGCTGGTTTGGTGGTGCTGAATTCTCTCAGCTTTTGCTTGTCTGTAAAGCTTTTGAGTTCTCCTTCATATCTGAATGAGATCCTTGCTGGGTAGAGTAATCTAGGTTGTAGGTTATTCTCTTTCATTACTTTAAGTATGTCCTGCCATTCCCTTCTGGCCTGAAGGGTTTCTATTGATAGATCAGCTGTTATCCTTATGGGAATCCCTTTGTGTGTTATTTGTTGTTTCTCCCTTGCTGCTTTTAATATTTGTTCTTTGTGTTTGATCTTTGTTAATTTGATTAATATGTGTCTTGGGGTGTTTCGCCTTGGGTTTATCCTGTTTGGGACTCTCTGGGTTTCTTGGACTTGGGTGGCTATTTCCTTCCCCATTTTAGGGAAGTTTTCAGCTATTATCTCCTCGAGTATCTTCTCATGGTCTTTCTTTTTGTCTTCTTCTTCTGGGACTCCTATGATTCGAATGTTGGGGCGTTTCACATTGTCCCAGAGGTCCCTGAGGTTGTCCTCATTTCTTTTGATTCTTTTTTCTTTTTTCCTCTCTGCTTCATTTATTTCCACCATTTTATCTTCTAACTCACTTATCCTATCTTCTGTCTCTGTTATTCTACTCATGGTTCCCTCCAGAGTGTTTTTGATCTCATTTATTTCATTATTAATTTTTAATTGACTTTTTAAAATTTCTTCTAGGTCCTTGTTAAACATTTCTTGCATCTTCTCAATCTTTGTCTCCAGGCTATTTATTTGTAACTCCATTTTGTTTTCAAGATTTTGGATCATTTTTATTATCATTATTCTAAATTCTTTTTCAGGTAGATTCCCTATTTCCTCCTCTTTTGTTTGACTTGGTGGGCTTTTTTCATGTTCCTTTAGCTGTTGGGTATTTCTCTGCCTTTTCATCTTGTTTAGATTGCTGTGTCTGGAGTGGGCTTTCTGTATTCTTGTGGTCTGAGGTTCCTTTTTATTGTGGAGGTTTCACCCAGTGGGTGGGGTTGGACGATTGGTTTGTCAAGGTTTCCTGGTTAGGGAAGCTTGTGTCAGCGTTCTGGTGCGTGGAATTGGATTTCTTCTCTCTGGAGTGCAATGGAGTGTCCAGTAGTGAGTTTTACGATGGATCTATGTGTTAGGTGTGACTTTGGAGAGCCTGTATGTTGACACTCAGGTCTATGTTTCTGCGTTGCTAAAGAATTTGCGTGGTATGCCTTGTACTGGAGCTTATTGGCTCTTGGGTGGTGGTTGGTTTTGGTGTAGGTATGGAAGCTTTTGGATGGTCTCTTATTCCTTAATGTTCCGTGTAGTCAGGAGTTTTCTGGTTTTCTCAAGATTTGGGCTTAAGTCTCCTGCCTCTGGATTTCAGTTTTGTTCTTCCAATAGTCTCAAGACTTCTCCAACTATACAGCACTGATAATAAAACTTCTAGGTTAATGGTGAAAAGATTCTCCACCGTGAGAGACAACCAGAGAGGTTCACAGAGTTACATGAAGAATAGGAGAGGGAGGAAGGAGATAGAGGTGATCAGGAGGAGAAAAAGGGGACTCAAGAGGAGAGAGACAGATCTACACAGTTATCTGTTCCCAAAGTGTTCTCCGTAGCCCAGACACCCACTAAGATTCACAGAGTTGGATTGGGAAGAGAAGGGGAAAGGAGGAAATAGAGGTGTTCCGAGGTAGAAAACAGAGAGTCAAAAGTGGGAGAGTAATCACCACACTCCTGAATAGAAATGGGAACTGAATATTGGATTCTTAAATGACCAAAATTTATATCACCTACTACTGAAAAACAAAGATTAAAAATCTAGTGTAGAGGTTAGACTCTTTGAAATACAATATTTAAAAACAAAAACAAAAACAAATTTAGAAATGTATATGAAGTTTGATTTAAAAATAGGGTTTCTCTCTCTCTCTTTTTTTTTTTTTGGCAAGGTTATAGTGAAATGAAAATGAAAATTAAGGAATAATAGAGGAGTATTAGAGGACTTTAAAATAGGAGAGAAAAACAAGAAAAAGAAAAAAAAGAAAAAAAATTTTTTTTTCCCTAATTAAAAAAATCGTAAAAATATATGAAAATGAAAGTTGAGGAGTAATGGGGGAGTAATAGGGGATTTTAAAAGAAAATAAAAGAGAAAAAATTAAAAAAAATTTAAAAAAAGATAGAAAAAAAATTTTTTTAAATTAAAAAAAAATATATATATATATATCTAGGAATTTCTCTGGAGTTGTTGCAGTCAGCATAGGTTCAGTTCAATTTCAGATAGCTCCTCTTTCCAGCTTACACTTCTTGATATCTGTAGGCCCCTTCTGGTGTAGTCGGTGTTACCTTCAGGGATTTTAGTCTGTTGCACCAGTCCTTTCTGAAGCGGTTCCCTTTGTTTATTTGGCTTCTGTTTGCCGTCTCTTTCGTCTTTTTTTTGGTGTCTAATTTCCGCCCTGACACAGGCGGGCGGAGGTGATCTCTTATTTAGGTTCTCTAGTTCAGTTCAGTCCTGCTACAGGGAGGGCGGGGCGCTGCAGACAGATACCGCTCTGTGTGGACAGCACTCACCGTGTTCCGGCCACACTGGGTTTGCCCCGCTCACGGGTGTCAGTGCTTTCGCCGTCTACACTGCTCAGGCTCCCGGCTGCTCTATATGGAGCGGGCCCTGCGTTGAGTGCGGTTCCAGATTTCGGGTACTCCACAAAAGCGCAGATTCGGTTGCGCCTGCGTTTTGTGCCTTCCCTGGCCTGAGCGGCCCAGGCAGCCAGAGGCTTGGGCGCACTCTTCCCGGAGGTGGCGCGCCTTTACCCTCCGCGGCGAGCGGCCCAGGCAGCCAGAGGCTTGGGCGCAATCTCCCCGGGTACGGCGTGCTTTTTCCCTCCGCGGCCCCAGCGCGCACGCCGCCAGTCGGGTCTCAGGAAGTCTTTAGATAGGAACCGGGGGCCTGTTTGCAGTGTGGGAGGGGGTGGCTTCTCAGGGGCTGAGTTTGCCCTTTTCCCCTACCCCCTGCCTCCAACCTCCAGCGGGGATGGGCCGGCTCTTCTCTGGACTTTCTCAGTCCCTTTGTTTTGCGAACCGCCGGCAGTGTGTTCGGGCCCTAAGCAATGCTGCCCGCTCCTCTCCGTCCCGCCCCCGCTTGTTGCTGGCGGGTACGGGCGTCTGGGGTACTTTTCTGCTGGGAGTTGCTTTTAGGCACGTAATCTGTGGGCCTTGTTTAATTTTTCCTCCCAGTTAGATTGCCGAAAACTTCCCCCAGTCCCGCCAGTGCGAGGGTTTCCTGGTGATTGGAAACTTCCTCTATTAAGACTCCCTTCCCGGGACGGGTCTCCGTCCGTAGCTCTTTTGACTCCCTTTTTATCTTTTATATTTTGTCCTACCTCCCTTCGAAGACAATGGGCTGCTTTTCTGGGCGCCTGATGTCCTCTGCTAGCGATCAGAAGTTGTTTTGTGAAATTTGCTCAGCATTCAAATGGTCTTTCGATGAATTTGTAGGAGAGAAAGTGGTCTCCCTGTCCTATTCCTCCGCCATCTTGGCTCCTTCCCCTCTACTTGGTATTTTTAAGGTGCAATTTCTTTGAGATTTTAAAAGTGGTTTTTGTTTTTCTTTTTGATAAATGCTAAGGAAGAATTTAAATCTAATGTAAAAGTTAGCACAATTAAATATATGATGATCTTCATGTAATTTAAAATATCTTAAATACTGAATGAGTTTTTAATACAGTATTTTAAAATGTTATTGTTAAATTTTTTTCAAGGAGGACTTGCTGCGTTTAAAGAAACAGATGAGGGTATTCTGTCAAATTTGTCAGCATTACCTGACCAATGTGAATACTACTGTTAAAGAACAGGTTAGTAACTACTATAGATAGCAGTCTTTTGTAAGCAACCCTGAACAAATATTTGAAGTAATATAGAAAATTTAAGTAATACTAAAATTGGGCAAACTAGAAATATCTTCTATTTGCTTTGTATATACCATGCTCAAAAAATAGATTAAGTAATATTAAGTCCATTTGGAGCATTATTGATTATTCTCATATTGCAGTCATTGTGTGTTACTGTTTCTTTATGCCACACTTGGTGAACAAACCCATATATACAAAGGAGGTGTTTGTAGTTATGTAAGTTATTCCTGAAAGCAACAGGTATTGCAAGTCTGCCTCAGGGAGGTCAAGGTCCTTCCGATTTTGTTATCTCTGAGAGTATTATCAGATCTTGGCATTCCTGCCTGTCCTGATTGTATAAAGTTTTTTTTCTTATGTGGACTTTGTCTGAAATAAAAATTTTAATCATGTCCCTGTCTTCAAAGTGTTACCTTCCCACCTCATATGCCCTCTTAATTCCAATCTTGCCAACTTTCTCATTCTGAAAATGCATTGTTACCTGGTGCCATGGGTAGTTTTCCCATCTGTAAAATAAATTCTGATCCTGGGACCAAGGGCCTATTTAGTTTTGAACTGTAACAATAAAGGACTTGGGACTTTAATTTTCTTCTCTACAATTCTGATAAGAGGTACAGAATTTTAGAAGGTACCAGTAGTAAAATGATTTTATAGTTAAAATCTTACAATAGGATTTTAATGAGGTATATGTGTGTGTGTGCACATGTACGTGCACTCAGTTGCTCAGTCATATCTGACTCTTGGCAACGCCATGGACTGTAGCCCGCCAGGGTCCTCTGTCCATGGGATTTTCCAGGCAAGAGTACTAGAGGGGATTAGCCATTTCCTCCTCCAATGGATCTTCCCAACCCAAGGATCTAACCTGTGTCTCCTGCAGTGGCAGGCGGATTCTTTACCACTACATCATCTGGGATGCCCTTTTAGTGAAGTATACACTGATCCATACTTAATATGTGAGCTATTACTTGATATATTTTCATAGGCCACCAAGATATTCAGCTTAATATTCCTTATTTCACATAATTCCTTATGGATTATTGTGTATAATCTCTGTTATGTATAATCAGATTTTTAAGACTTGGAGATTAACTATTTGGTTATTAAATAACCTGTGTATTACTATTCTTCCAAACAGCCTCCAGGGATATGTCCTGGTTAGCTCACAAGACCTGCCAGTTCACCTAATTAGTAAATGTCACTGTGCTTACCACTTTGTATACTTACTGTGTATGTTGCAAAAATTTGTAAACTCAAATATTCTGATAGGTATAAATTATTTCTGTAGTAGTAAAATGAGAGGAAGAGACCAAAAGAAGAGATAAAAGCATAAGAGGAAAAAAATAAATGTGGTTAGTTCCAAAAGGGCAAAGCTGTTATTAAGATCTGCTTTGCCTGGTGATTAGTTTGCAGGCCCATACTTGGTTATGTTTTTTCTACTTAATCACCATACATACTGACAATAAGATTTTGTAATCTCTCTTCTAAGAGATCTTCTAGGAGATATCCATCTTCTTGGTTTAAGTGTTTTTCTTCCATAGAAGAGAAGAATGATATCAGGTTTACACATTAATTCATATTTGAGAATGTATATCATGAGATATTGTGGTTTAGTGTGGGATTTGGAGTCAGAAGACATGTGATTGAGTTCTGACTGCATGTTTTGATGATATTAACATATTGTACAAATCACTTAAAAGTTACTGAAAATTAAAAAGAATATTTGTGAAATTACCTTGCATTTAGTAGATCACAGTGCACATATCAGTAGTTATTGTTGAAAAAGTTTCATTCTTAAAGTCTTAGGAAAGTCTTACTAGTCATTGCTTTAGTGAGTTTCAAATGCAGAGTGGGATTTTATTTCTATATTAAATATGTAAGTTATTTGTGGCAGTTTGTGAAAAACTTTGGTTTATGGCATGCTATCCCCCCTTTTTTTTATAATAGGCCTTCACTATTCTATGTGATATTTTGATGATCTTCAGCCATCAGATTATGTCAGGAGGGCGCGACATGTTAGAGCCATTAGTTTACACCCCTGATTCTTCATTGCAGTCTGAGTTGCTCAGCTTTATTCTGGATCATGTCTTCATTGAACAGGATGATGACAATAACAGTGCAGGTAATTTTATTGCCATCTTTTTGTTAAATTTGTGTATCTACCATAAATCAAATTTAGCAACAGTATAAAATGTTATACTACTATTTCATGTTTTATTCTTAAACATGAAAGGCAGGTACATTTTCCAGTGCATTTTGTATTCATTCCTTGTAACATAAAGACAATGAAATATCATTTCTCACTAGTTGTGAGTTTGTTTTTCTAATTTGTAGCTACCTACAGAACTGTATGAGTTAATTACATTGTGCAAAGTGACTAGTGTAGTGCCTGGGCATGTAGGTAGGTGATCAATAAAATTTACTTTGCTTTCCCCTTAATCATTGGTAACGCCAATATTCAAGTAACTAGAGCAGAGAAAAAATGTTAAAGTGACATTTTTGTTACATACTTCTCTTAAAGTGTGGGGCAATACAGAATGTTACACATAAACAGTCAGACGAACCTGGGTATTGTTACTGTTTGTACTCTGATTGCATACACGGATGCCTTACTTGGGCTTCCTTCATAGCTCAATTGGTCAAGAATCTGCCTGCAGTGCAGGAGACCCGGGTTTGTTTCCTGGGTGGGGAAGATCCCCTGGAGAACGAAATGGCAACCCACTCCAGTATTCTTGCCTGGAGAATCTCTTGGACAGAGGAGCCTGGCAGGCTACAGTCTATGGGGCGCAAGAGTCAGACACGACTTGGCGACTACACCACCAGCACCACCACCATGCCTTACTTGAACAAGAAATCGTGGAAAAACAGATAACGTTTGGTGACTTCTTTCTGGGTTTTCAATTTGAAGTTAAGCCCGAAGGATATATAACATCAATATTTTGTTCTCAAGTATCACAAACTTAACTCGAACAGGATTGAGAAATCAGAATAGGCAAAACAGATGTAAAAAATCCATGTATTAATGTTTATATACTTAGAATCTTCCACTGTTCACTTTCAGCTCTTGTTTTAGTTATACTTTATTTTTAATGTTCATTTGATATTAGTCAGCAGGCAGTATACCTAAGATGCTGTGAATACTTTTTAAAAATGAGATATAGTCTTGTAAGAATTGAAGTAGAAAAGACATTTCTAAAAACAATTATTATGTAACTTGATAAATAGTAGAGACATGTACAAAGTGTTATAATTTAGAGAACGTTCTTCCTATTCTGTCAGTCAAAACACCATTGAAACAGGATAACATCTGAAATGGATCCTAAAAGATGAGTTGGAGTTTTTAGAACTTCTATCAATAAACATATATTCCAAACACTGATACAAAATCAGTTTTTGTCTATGACCCTTTTGTTAGTTGCAGACTACCTCCAATTCATTTAGACCATAGGAAACAGGAATGAGAATAAGCTTGCCAATACTCCTGAATTTTCTGGGAGGTTCCTGGAATTACATTCTTCTTTACCTCCTTGGACTGTGTTTTTCTATTTACACTTTAAAAATAAAATGTATTCCAGTTCTATGGAAAAGAATAAAATATAACACATTTATATAGACCAACCACTAACATTTGTTAAATTTTGCCTTGTTTCAGATTTGTTTTTTAAAGGAATAAAACATAGATAGAAAAGAAGTCTTTGTTTGTATCCATCCCCAATCCCGTTATTGTTTTTCCCTAGAAATAACTGCTATCTTGAATTTGGTGTTTATTGTGCCTTTGCATCTTAATTCTATTTTACCAAGAGTTTATGTGTCTTTTAAGAAAATAAAGTTTATTTTCTGTTGCTAGCTTCCGCATAAATGGTATCCTGTTGAACATTTAGTTTACATCTTGGTTTTTTGAATTAACATTATTTTTGAAATTTATCAGTGTTGACATGTGGTTATAGTTTATTCATCCTGACTGCTGAATATTGTGTGATATGAATTAACCATATGTTACCCATTTTCATATTGATGAACATCTAGTTTTTTTTTCCATTTTTTCCTCTATTATAAATAATATTGCAAAAATGTTTTTATAATTATCTCCTGAGCGTATGTGCAGATGCTTTTCTAGCATACAGGCATACCTCCTTTTATTGCACTTTCATAGATAATGTGTAGTTTTACAAATTGAAGGCTTGTGACAACTTTGTATCAGGTAAGTCTATGGATGCCATTTTTCCAACATTTGTTCACTTCATGTTTTTATGTCATATTTTGGCAATTTTTGCACATTTCAGATTTTTCCATTATTTATCATGGTGGTTTGTGATCAGCGATCTTTGTTGTTACTGTTGCAATTTACATGAAAACTTATATGATGATTAGAATTTTTTAGCAATGAAGTGTTTTTAAATTAAGGTACATACATGTTATTAGACATAATGCTATTCATTACTTAGTAAGACTTAGTATAGTATAAACATAACTCATATGAACTGGGAAACCAAAAAATTCATGTGACTCATCTTATTGTGGTATTCACTTCATGGTGGTCTAATCAAACCTGCAGTATCTCTGAGGTGTGCTTGTGTATGCTGCTGCTGCCGCTGCTGCTTCTAAGTCACTTCAGTCGTGTCCTACTCCATGTGATCCCATAGACGGCAGCCCACCAGGCTCCCCTGTCCCTGGGATTCTCTAGGCAAGAACACTGGAGTGGGTTGCCATTTCCTTCTCCAGTGTGTGAAAGTGAAAAGTGAAAGTGAAGTTGCTCAGTCGTGTCTCTTCGCAACCCCATGGACCGCAGCCCACCAGGCTCCTCCGTCCATGGGATTTTCCAGGCAAGAGTACTGGAGTGGGGTGCCATTGTTTTCTCCGGTGCTTGTGTATACCTGAGTGGAATTGCTAGAGTATATAGTCTATGTGCATTTTAAACTTGACCACATGTTGCCAGATTATTCTCCAAAGTGGTTTTACTCTTTTACCCTCCCACCAGCAACATATGATCGTTCCCATTGCTTTTCATACTCATCTAACCCCTGATATTATAGACCCATGATTATTTGATTTGTTAGCCCACATCAGATTAGAAGGGGAGAGTAAAATAGGGAATGCTTCTAGAGGTGCTGACAACATATAATAATAATGGCAGCTGACATCTATGAAAGGCCCAGTGTGTTAGATACTTCTCTAACATTCTTTAATCCATACAGGAGAAAAAAGTAGCTAATTTTTGATAAGAAGTGAAGAAAACTTTCAAAAGGACTCAAAAAAAACCTCTTAATATCTAAGTAACTTAGTCTGAAGGGGGAGTAAGTCTTATATCCCTCCAGTCCCTGAGAGCAGTACCAAACAATGATTGGAACAGTATTGTATAGAAATCCATTTATAATCACAGAGTCATTAAGAAATAGTTAGCTTGTATGTTCAATGTACTCTTTAAAAAGAATAAACAGTACATTTTAGGTTTCTAAGAAAATGACTTTGGCATTCTGGAATAGGCAATTTTGATAACAGACTTTTTGGATGATCTGTCTTAAATTCCTAGTCTCAACATTTGGTTTTTATTTACGAGCAGTTATCAAGGATTATCAGAGACAGGGTGAAGTAAATACTTTCTTCAAAAGAGTTCTTATTTTATACACAATATAAGTAATTTCATTTATAAAATTTGTCAAGAGGAAAATTCTTTGCATAGCTTTTTATGTAAAAGACGTCATCACAATTTACAGGGTCAGATTGAAAATCCTTTAGCAATACTTGGTGGCTGTAGTCTGGCTTTCTCAACTATAAATTTGGAAATAATTTTGTCCTTTTGACAACTAAGTATCAAAATCTCACATAATTAATCAGGAGAAATATGTGAAGTTCCCTTAAAAAAAATGATTTCTCGGCCAGTGTAACTGAATATCTGTAATATGTATAAAGGAAATATCTGTCAATGGAAGTTGGGCTCTAGGTGAGGTGGGGTCATCTTTAGAAGGGATAGGACAATTTCTAAGGTGGTCTGCTCCTAGGGAAGAAAAGCCTTACCCAACAGATAGTGAATATGCAGGTCTCATTGTCAAACAATCCTATTAGGGAAGTAGATCAATGGGTTAGACATGCTTGTATGTTAGGCAAGCTTAGCCCGACTTCACTAAGCATCAGTTCCTTTGACTCACCCCACTTGTTCCTGTTCCATGTTCATCAAACAGCCTTCTGATTTGACATCACAAAAATTTTTTCTATTGGAATAAATGGGCTGGTCATTCATGAAAATATTGAGTGGTTATAATTTTATTTTATTTAAATGTTTTTTTCTTTATTTTTCACATTCTCCAAAATAAAAATAAAGTTATTTTTATATATATTGAAATAAAATACAGATGGCTAAATGTTTGAAACTTTTTCCCCCAGATGGTCAGCAGGAGGATGAAGCCAGTAAAATTGAAGCTCTGCACAAAAGGAGAAATTTACTTGCAGCATTTTGTAAGCTAATTGTGTATACTGTGGTGGAGATGAATACAGCTGCAGATATCTTCAAGCAGTATATGAAGGTAAAATTGAAAAGTGGATAGCAAGATATTTTTATATTGCTTTTATGTTTGGTTACCATTGAATTTTTTAATAGTTAAGTTACTTTTGTAGTGTAAAAGAAATCTCTTAAAATATTTAACATTTTCAGTAACATTTTCTCATACCTGCACTCCTCTATGGATGGACATTTTGGGTTTATTGAGTTCATTTGTATTTGGAATATTGCAAACAGCTTGTCTTAACTGTCACTAATAGAAATTGAATTTGTGATTTAATTTAAAACAACAGAATGGTGTCACTCCCCTGCTTGATGTAACATAAAAAAAAGTTCTAGGAGTCAGAGAATTAGATAATATAGTTTCAACTTGGTTACTATGCAGCTTGTGACCTTGAGTAACTCACTACCTTTTGTATCCTGCCTTTCTTTATCTGTTGCACTGTGATAGTTAAAGTTTCTTAAGCTCTGAAAATCTGACTAGGTTCACAGTAGGTTATTCACAAGCATCATAAATATAGGTGAGATTCTTTAACTTTTAAGTAGTAGTAGAAAGGATGTTACTGATTGTACTAACAGAACGTGACTAAATATGGCATGATAATTTTTCTGTAATCCTTTTTCAAGTAAAATCTAATTATAAATGTAAAATTTTTAAGCCTTTGCTTTTACAGAATAAAATATGTAATACATTTATCAAAACCTCATTAATTCTTTGGAATAGTTTCCTAGGTGATAGAAGCCTTAATAAAGTACTTTGAAACTTATTTGGCATGATACTTGTTAGATTTTCTTTTTTTTAACTGGTGGTTTTTGAAGTCACTTTGCAAGTTTTAAACTTTTAGACATAGGTATTCTAGATTAAAGTCAGTTTTGTTAGTCATATAGGGGCGTGGTTATCCTGTTATCTCTGGTAGTTATGTAAAATCTTAAATTAGAATAAAAAATCATGTGCAGTGTGTGATTTAAATGCCACATACAGTAACTTTGGGGATTCCCTGGTGGCTTAGACAATAGAGTCTGGTCTGCCTGTAATGCAGGAGACCCGGATTCAGTCTCTGGATCGGGAAGATCCCCGGGAGAAGGAAATGGCAACCCACTCCAGTATTCTTGCCTGGAAAATCCCATGGATGGAGGAGCCTGGCAGGCTACAGTCCATGGGGTCACAAAGAGTCGGACACGACTGAGCAACTTCACTTCACAGTAACTTTTCTTTTAAATATTGTTAACAGACTGTTAGTTTCTATAAGGAAATTAATAGATTTGGAAACTGCTCATGAAATACATGCCATTAGCAATGAATAAGTTCTGAAAGTAACTGTGATAATATTCATTGACTTAATATTAGGTTGGTGAAAAAGTAATTGCGGTTTCGGACCGTGAATTTTAAATCATTATATCTAGGCTCAAACACATATTAATCAAAATAGGAACCATTAGAGTCAACACATTTTTGCCAACGAGAAATAAGTTTGTTTATTCCTGTAGCATAAAAATCCGTGCTTTGGGATTTGACGAACTCTTAGAAAGCATTTTCTGCCTCCTGCTGGTTGTGGAAGCGTTTGCCCTGCCAAAAATCGAGATGCTTGAAGAAGTGGTAGTCAGTTGGCAAGAGTTCAGGCGAATATGGTCGATGAGGCAAAACTTCATAGCCCAATTCATTCAAATTTTTTTTTAATGCATTCAATTTTTGAACTGTTGGTTGTGTGACGAGGGGTCAGGCATTGTCATGGAGAAGAATTGGGCCCTTTCTGTTGATCAATGCCGGCTACAGGTGGTGCAGTTTTCAGTGCATCTCATCAGTTGCTGAGCATGTTTCTCAGATGTGATGGTTTTGCCAGGATTCAGAAAGCTTTAGTGGATCAGACTGGCCACACACCACCAAACAGTGACCATGACTTTTTTGGTGCAGGTTTGGCTTTCAGAAGTGCTTCGGAGTGTCTCAGTCCAGCCACTGAGCTGGTCGTCTCTGTTTGTCTCATAAATCCACTTTTCATTGGATGTCACAATCTGATCAAGAAATGGTTTGTTGTTGTGTAGAATAAGAGAACACAATAGACACTTCAAAACATGATATTTTTGATTTTCAGTCAGCTCATGAGGCACCCACTTGTCGAGCTGTTTCACCTTTCCAATTTGCTTTAAATGCCAAATGACCATAGAATGGTCGATGTTGAGTTGTTGGGCAGCTGTAAAAGGATCCGCTTCGATGATGGCTCTCAATTGGTTGTTGTCAACTTCCGAAGGCTGGCCACTGTGCTCCTCATCTTCTAGGCTCTTGTCTTTGCAAAACTTCTTGAACTACCACTGCACTGTATATTTGTTCGCAGTTCCTGGGCCAAATGCATTGTTGATGTTGCGAGTGGTCTCCGCTGCTTCATGGCTCATTTTGAACTCGAATAAGAAAATCACTTGACTTTACTTTTTGTCTTAACGTCATTTCCCTACTCTAAAATAAATATAAAATAAATGGCAAGTAATAACTCATTGGCAAAAATACACAAACTGAGAAATGTGCATTAAAATGATATATAACAACCACATTTATTTAAGAGTGTACTCTAATATCAAACAGCAAAGTTCAAAAGTGCAAAGCCGCAGTTACTTTTGCACCAACCTAATAGTTCTGAAAATCTGAATACTTAATTATTTTTATACACTATACCTCCTTAAAATCAACTCTAGAACTTAATGTGAACTAGATCTTAACTGTCTGATATTTCTGAATTTACCAATGTTAGAGTTTGTGCTTAAAGATCATAAAGTTTCAGTAACATTCTTGCATGTCTTTGAAGTCATAATTTTAGCCAAATACATTCTTGTAATATGTTTATATGCCTAACCTAAAATTAGTCTTATTGTCCAACAGTTTTAAGAGACAAAGCTCTAATTTATTCAAATTTCTTTTCTAGTATTATAATGACTATGGTGATATCATCAAAGAAACAATGAGTAAAACAAGACAGATAGACAAAATTCAGTGTGCAAAGACCCTTATTCTCAGTTTGCAACAGGTAAGACATGAGTACCATGGTTAGGCTAACATAATAAGCACTTACTGGTTTTCAAGGTAACAGTCAAAAACTGGGCAAAGGACGCAATAGATAGTTTGTAAAAGTGGAAATGGAAAATACACAATCTCACTGGTAAACATTGAGCAAGTGAGATCACTTTTTTTGCCTCTAGACTGGCAAGATTGGCAAAACCTATAGCTGCCTAAGATATGGGAGAAACAGATTTTGTCAGCATTATATATTGGCTCAACCTTCCTGGTAGGCAGTTTGCCAGTACGTGTCAAAATTTATAATGTGTATGTCATTGAGGCAGCAATTCTACTTTTAGAATTTTGTCCACAGTGGTAATAGGATAAGTTTGCAAAAATGAGTATACAAGATCGTACATTGCAAAGTTATTTATAATAGCAAGGAATTAGAAATAATCCAAATGTCAGTCAATAGGATATTAGATGAATATATTGTGTAGTACATCTCCACAGTGGCTATTGGGCAGCACTTAAAACTAGTGTAAGTTGATATTAATTTAAGATCGCTACCGTATTTGAGAATAAAATAAAAAGATTCCAGTATAGCATCACTATAAAATTGTGCCTATCTCTGTGTCCCTGGAGAAGGGAAAGGCTACCCACTCCAGTATTCTGGCCTGGAGAATTCCATGGACTGTATAGTCCATGGAGTTGCAAAGAGTCAGACTTGATTGAGTGACTTTCACTTTCACTGTGTCTGTTTGGAAAAAATAATCACCAAAATGTTAGCCGTGGTTAACTTGCTGGTAGGTTTCAGGTGAATTTTACTTTATTCTTTACCCATTTGCAGATGTATTTTAATGAGCACTTATCAATCATAGTGAAAATACACTAGTCATTTTCATTCTGGCAGTGGCATGGCAAGTTTAATTAGGCTAAAATCATTTGCTTAGTATTCTTAGGTCTGTCAAAACCAAATGCATGTAAATCATAACCAAACCCATTTCACTTTGATAAAGTTTCTTGCTCTTTAGAAACATAGGTGTGAAAGTTCTTAGCTTCATTTGCATATTGGATATTCTTTATTAAAAGATTTTAAAGGCTGCATTTAAATAACTTTTGTTATAAAATAATAACTGTAGAAAGTTTACAAAGTATTTTAGGAAAACTAGAAAAAATATACCTTTAATTTTTTTCACTTGACAATGTTTTCATTTTATCTTTCTAAAATCTTTTTAACACCTGTGTTAAATCTTATTTTACGAAAATAAAAAATGTGCATTCTGTCTTAATATCCTTAATTTTTCATATTAATAAATCCTAAACACTTTCATGCCATTAAATACTTTCCTCTGCTCTTTTTTGGCTGCTCTGTGTGGCATGTGGGATCTTAGGTCTCTTAGCAGGGATGCAATCCGTGCCCCCTGCATTGGGAGTGTAAAGTCTTAACCACTGGCCTGCCAGGGAAGTCCTTCCTCTGCATTTTTAATGATTGTGTAGTATTCCATTTTATAGAGGGACTATAATTTAACCAAGATCTCTTGTTTGATGTTGAGGTTGGTTTGTTTGTTTGTTTTAAACAATTCTTTCCTTTATAAATAGCACTAAAACAAACATTTTTGTACCTATGTATTGCACATAAATATTACTGTTATTCTTTTTGGATATAGTCTGATAATAACAATTGGTTAGTCAAAGAGCATGAAAATTGTAAAGCTTTTGCTACACATTGCCAGATTGCTGTGTAGAAAGAAAGGTTATCTCAGTTTATGTTCCCAGATCAGTGCCCATTGCACTGTATTCTTTTTTTTAAATTTACTTGTTTTTAATTGAAGGATAATTGCAATATTGTATCGGTTTCTGCCATACATCATCATGCATCAGCCAGTCCTTCCTCTTGAACCTCCCTTCACCTCCTACCCCATCCCACCTCTCTGGGTTGTCACAGAGCCTGGTTTGAGTTCCCTGAGTCATACTGCAAACTCCCACTGGCTATCTTGAGTAGTAGCCATAACTACTACAGAAATGCACTGTATTCTTAAGTAGTAGCCATTATCTGTTAAAAAATCTTGGCAGTTTGATAGTTGAAAAAATTATATTTTGTTTTGCTTACTTTTTGATCCATCATTCAAATGTCAATAAGAACATAGTTGCCTAATAACTTAGTTGGTTTCCTTTTTATTTATATTTTTATATGCTATTATAATATCCAATTACAGTGACAGAAAAAAACTCTGTCATAACTAATCTTAAGAAGTTTCTAATGTCAGTAATTACCTCTAGTTTGAATATGTGAAGTGGTGCAATTTTGGTCATTTGTATCACATTTTTAAAAATCCATGCTTTAGAGTGAAGTATAATGCTTTATTTATAGAACATTACAAGTATATATTAAATATAAAATATGATATTTTAAAATCAGTAATAATCCATAATTATTAAAAACTTTAACATGCTTTCTTTCTTTCTTTTCAAACAGCTTTTTAATGAAATGATACAGGAAAATGGCTATAATTTTGATAGGTCATCCTCAACTTTTAGCGGCATTAAAGAACTTGCTCGACGTTTTGCTTTAACTTTTGGACTCGATCAGTTGAAAACTAGAGAGGCCATTGCTATGCTACACAAGTAATTTCCAAATTTTATTCCAGCTTCTCTGTGTTTTAATCATGCAAGTTTTTTTGTATATTGCTTTTTTGTTTAGAATAACCAATTCAGCTGATGCCTTATTACTTGTTTGCAAATCTGTAGTATATCTCCTTTCTTAAGAACCAGTTACAGTGCTGTCTCTGTTAACACATGAATTGGGACTAAAACACCTTTCGTAGAAAAGTCTTTGATTTAATTAAAGCCATACAAAATCTTTATGAATTATGTGAAGAAAACATGTATTTGTTAGGTATTATAAAATCTCTTGTAGCAGTTTTGTCATGATCTCATGGCTAGGTAGAAGAATTTGATTCCTTTGTTTCAAGTTTCTGTTCTCTTCTATTACCTTTTCTCTTATTTTGAGCCACAATCTTTATTTTATCTGCATGTTTTCTTTGCCTTATCAAAATTGGAAATCATCTGGTTTTATTTTAGGCATGTAATTTAGTGATCAATTATACTTTTATGTATATTTTAGATCTCTAACATAACCAGTATGTGGATATTAATACCCTTTATGTCTTTATTGTGGATAAAGAGCCTTGCCTTTGGAAAAATCTAGAGGCTTGGGCTCCGTTTCATTGAAAGCTCTCTGTTTTGTGTCTTTTTAAAATTTGTATTGTTTACTTAGTTATGAAAGTGTTAAATGCCTCCTTTCAAAAATTATTCTGCTGTTTAAGTTAGTCCTATGCTTTCCTCAACTTTAATTTACTCCCACCTTTTCATTTGGCTCTGAAAGTCTCAGATTTCTTTGTATGTCTTTTAATACTTTGGTTGTGAATTTTAGGTAATACTTAAAGACCACACATGCAGTAATTATTCTGAGAAGTAATATATTATTTACTTCATATATGTGTAATGTTGGGTAGTTGTCTTAATTAATAGAGGTATTTATTATTAAATAAATACAGGTAAAATTGGCCCCGAGTTGAGTATAATTTTTGAACTTTACTCTTTAGTGAGTCATTACAAATAGTCTGTAATCATTATTTTTAAGTTGATTTTATAGTTGATCTCCTTTATGTCTTGAAATATACAAAAAATGTAATGATCATTATGTGAAAGGATTTGGATTATTTTTTATGGAAAAGAAAACTGAGGGCAGAATGTAGATATGCCAGATCACATTTGTAATAAAGACCAGCTTGGGGGAGGGGGAGTGTCTATGTTTGTGTCTGTTTTGTTTTAAAGAACCAGGTAGGGTGTGTGTGTGTCTGTTCTGTTTCACAGAAAGTAACAGTTCAGAGTTCCTGGGCAGTCTGGTGTTTAGCACTTCTACTGCTAGAGCGGGAGCAACTAAGATCTACAATTAGTGTAGCATGCCTGCCCCCGCCCCCACCCCCCCCCAATAAAAAACAAATTTAAAAAATCCATCCAAAACAAAATAACAGTGTCATAAAACGTAAATATATTTGGTCATTCTCTATAGACTCCTTATTGTCTCTGTTCCTCAGATTAAACACACCAGAAAGGAAGCATCTTTTGTAGTGGAGTGAAAGTATAGAGAGAAATTTTCTAGGTTATTAAATTTTCTATTGTAGTTATTTGAATATTTGTCTTTTTTGTTTTTGTTGCAGAGATGGCATAGAATTTGCTTTTAAAGAACCTAATCCACAAGGAGAGAGCCATCCACCTTTAAATTTGGCATTTCTTGATATTCTCAGTGAATTTTCTTCTAAACTACTCCGACAAGACAAAAGAACAGTGTATGTATTTACTAGAAATACTCTTAATTTTGCTTTGGAATTCTTAAAGATTTGTTATAATTGGTTTCTCTTTCAGATTTGTAGGATTTCATTAATGCACAAAAACTTTTATGCTTCAGAAATTTTATAATTTAAAGATTACAACTATGTTTTATGCATAATATTACATTTTAATTCTATGAGTTCTTTTTACAGTGTAGCTGTATCTTTAAAGGTGTAACTGGAATGCTTTTTGTATTCTTATGAGTTCTTTGCTCAGCCTAACTAAGGAAGAAGCATTTAGCAGACAATAATATTGCTGATCCATCTGTGTCTTTGTCTGTGTCCTGAGCTGTGACTATACTGGAAAGTAGAAGTCTCCCTGTTTTTTCTTCGTACTTTAACTACAAGTCCTGTTCTCAACAGGCCATTTAAACAGAATACTTTTATGGTTTGGTCTTCTAAAATGATGACTTACATTCTAAGAGAGCCCAACAAGTGGAATTAAAGTCTCAAAATCTTCTTTAATCCCTCCCTTCCAGACCTCCCAACCCCAGGCTTTGAGGTATAAAAAGACAGAAAAATATGAATAACACCTAGTATAAGTAATGTCTTCCTAAAGCCCACCAGTATTTTGCATTTAAAGATTATAGAGATCTTATATGAAATTCTAAAGCAGACAAAACTAATCTGTATTGATAGAACTCACCATAGTGGTACTTGTTGGAGTTGGAAAGACTGAATGGGAAAGGGGATACAGGGTACTTTCTGGGGTCATGGGAATATCCTGTATCTTGATAGGTGTATGGGTTACATGACTGCATTCATTTACAGAGGTGATCCAACTTTTAATTTCTGTGCACTTTATTATATATAAATTGATCCCAATTTAAAATTGCACTGAGGAATTCGTAGTCCAGTGGTTAGACTGTGCTTTCACTGCTGAGGGCCTGGATTCAATCCCTGCCTGGGAAACTAAGGTCCCACAAGCTGCGTGATGGTAGGCGAAAAAATAATTGCATTGATACTATTAGAGAAATAAAAATTAAAACAATTAAAAAAATAATTTCTCATCTAGTAGATTAGCACAACTTTAAGAAGTCTGATAGTGCCAAGGATGTGGAGCAATAAAAGACTTACACATTGGTGGTACAAGACCACTTTGGAGATATCTGGTAGTATGTAGTAAAGTTTAAGATTCTTCCTACATCATGATCCAGTAATGCTATTCAAAGGTAGATACATTAGAGGAACTCTCACACATATATGTAAAGAGAACTATAAATGATGTGACAGTTGGGGACTTCCCTGGCGGTCCAGTGATTAAGAATCCTGCTTCCAATGCAGGAGTCACAGGTTCTATCCCTTATCAGGAAACTAAGATCCCACATGTGCTGATATGTTTAGTTGCTCAGTCATGTCCAACTCTTTGTGACCCCATGGTCTGCATCCCACCAGGCTCCTCTGTCCATGAGATTTTCCAGACATGAATATTGGAGCGGGTTGCCATGACCTCCTCCAGGGGATCTTCCTAACCCAGGGATTAAACCCAGGTCTCCCATATTTATGGCCAAAAAGAAAAAAAAAGTGACTATTGCATTGTTTGAATAGGGGATAGCGCCAAACTAAATATCTATCTACTAGAAAAAGAGATCAATAAACTAATATACAATGGAATACTATACAATAGTCAAAATTGTTAGATATTTTTAAGTAAATATAAATCCTTAATTTTATTAAAAGCCCATCTAATTGTTCTAATTTCTAGTAGTCTTACATGTCATATATGAAAGTAACTCAGTTGTGTCCGACTCTTTGCAGCCCCATGGACTATACAGTTCATGGAATTCTCCAGGCCAGAATACTGGAGTGGGTAGCCTTTCCCTTCTCCAGATGTCATAAATGACTTTTATTCTTAGTTCATTTGATTGAATTGGGATTGAAAAGATTCACACAATCCAATTGATCTACTTTAAAATTTTTTTCAAGTTTATTGAGCTGTAATTGGCAAATAAATTTGTAATGTATTGAAAGTATACAGCATGATTTCATATACGTCGTCTAAGGATTCCCATAATCAAGTTAATTAACGTATTTATCACCTCACATTATTTATCCTTTTTTTGATCAGAACACTGAAGCTCTACTCCTTTAGCATATTTCAGTTATACAGTATTATATATTTACAAATATCATCAACCTTAACCACCATGTTACATATTAGACCATGAGATCTCATTCATCTTTTCAAAATTGTTTTTCTGACTTCATGGAGATATAGTTGACATATAACACTGTGTAAGTTTGAGGTGTGCAACATATTGATTTGATACACATATTGGAAAATGATTACCACCATAGTGTTAGCTGATACCAGTCTTCCAACATGGTTAGATTTTAAATTAAAGTGTTGTGTGCAAAAAGCTAAGTACAAAATGGTGCTGTGTTTTCAGACAAATAAGTATTAAAACATTATAAATGGGGACAAAAACAGGAAATTCAGGTTAATGGCAACATCTGTGGCTGGAAAGAGGAAAAAAGGCCATAGCATCAGAGAGGGCTACTTATCTGGAATATTCCGTTAGGCTGTGTGGTAGATACATAGTTGTAAATCTCTCTACTAGTAAGTATATTTTGGCTCAGACTGCACGTCTTGTCACAGACGGTTAATAGTTCTCTGACTGATAGCCAGCTTACAAAGACCACACTTCGAGGAGTACTGTGCTACCATGTGCAGGGCTTCCCCAGTGGCTCAGCGGTAAAGACTCCTCCTGCAGTGTGGGAGACACAGGTTCGATCCTTGGATCAGGAAGGTCTCCTATCCTTTCTCTCCTTATCTATGATACGGGGAGAATATCTCCCTCACAAGATTGTAAGAATAAAGTTAAAGAGCCTAAGAGGAAAATGCCTAGCACACAGTAGCCACACAAATGTTAGTTGATTTTTAATTGCTATATTATATGTAAGTCATGGAATCCTTGTGATACTTGGATCCACGGGTAGATGTATGACTTCCATTATGCTGAAAATATTTTGCAGGTAGGGACCATATCAGATTTACCTTTGCATCTGTCCCCATTGCCTGAGACATAGGTGCTCAACAAATAATAAACCAAAATGCTGTGAATTATTTCCTTTATTGTGAGAATCTTCATAGAGACAAAATTGTTCATCACTGTACTGATGAGGCTTAGAATAAGTAGTAAAGTAATATACCCACACTCACACAGCTAGGGGTTGGTAGAACTGGGACTAGAACTCAATGTAATCTTGTGTAATCTTTAAATACAATCCTCTTTCCAAAAATATGACTCAGATTTGTTCTTCTAACAGAGGACCTGTAAAGTTAGGATAGAACAGAGACATTTTGAGAAAGAGAACACTAATATCCTGCAGTTGTTAGTGGAATGCTTTCAGGAAATGTAGACCCATCCATCATTATTTTCATTCTCATTTACTTTTTATTTAACTCTAGTTAATCATTGTGTGTTCCATATTAATGTGTAAGCCTTAAGATTATTAGGAATAAGCAAAAAGAAAAAAAAGCTATGGCAATTTAATGTATCAAAGCTAATGATTTCTACTCCTTTTTAAGGTATGTTTACTTGGAAAAGTTCATGACCTTTCAAATGTCACTCCGAAGAGAAGACGTGTGGCTTCCACTAATGTCATACCGAAATTCTTTGCTAGCTGGTGGTGATGATGACACCATGTCAGTCATTAGTGGAATTAGTAGTCGGGGGTCAACTGTGCGAAGTAAAAAATCCAAACCATCTACAGGGAAACGGAAAGTGGTTGAAGGCATGCAGCTCGCACTCAGTAAGCATATAGTTTATTTTCTTTATGTTTGTCCTTTATGTTTCCCATAGGTCACCTCCTTTTTAAATTCAAGGTATGTGTTGTTAAATGCAAATTGTTTGCTCCAGTTATGTGTAAAATGTACTGTTTTAAGCATTTTGCATATGTGAATTTGATTCTTACAATTCTTTAGGTACATTCTTATTTTTCACTTGTAGGAAACTAGTACAGAGAAGTTGATTAACTTAGGTCACACTGATATTAAGTAGCAGAGCCAGGCAGTCTCACTCTCGAGCATCTACTGTTTTTTTTTTTTCTGTATTAAATGTATTTAAGATATACACACGTCCCGTCCCTCTTAAACCTCCCACCCACCCCATAGAGCATCTACTTTTAAATCACTGCACTATACTCTATGTATACAGATATGGAGAACTAATCATTACCTAAGAGATCAGATCATCCAGTTTAAGTGGTGCAGCAGATTCAGAGAGGTTCCAACTTTGGAATTTCTATGAAGAGATCATTAATCATAAAGAATTTGATAGATATACAAGTTGCTGTCTATAATCTTAGAGTTAAGAATGTATTATGACGCTTGAATCTCTTGGACTCTTAGTACTCCAGGGTTGGTTCTTTATTCCTTTCTTTAAGATACTTTAAACAGATTAGTATAGTTGCCAGAATTTGTTCCAGCTATTATTCCTGAGTAACAAAACTACCCCCAAAACTTAAACGATATAACTCGGACATAATGTCTGGTGCTTTCACTAGGAATAAATACTCCAAGGCTGGAACTGGAATCATATGGAGACATCTTCACTTATAGATGTATCTGATGCTGGCTGTCAGCTGGGACCTCAGCTAGATTGTTTGCCAGAACACCTTACATGTGACCTTTCCATGTGACTATTTGGCTTCCTCACAGTGTGTGATTCGGCTTCAAGAACAGGTGTCTCAAGAGACAGCTCTGGACACTGCCATTTTCTAAGGCCAGAAACTGGCATAGCGTAGTTTTTCATCATGGTCTGTGGACCAAGCAATCACAGGGCACAGATTCAAGGGAGTGGGACATCATCCCCCACCTGTTAATGTGACAAGTGTCAGAGGTTTGGGGGCTATATTTTTTTTTAACTTATTTTCCTAGGAGCCATGATTTTAAATTGCCACATGGATTAATGGTTTTAGTATTTTTTTGGTCCAGTAACACAGAGCATAAACTTGTAACTTACACAGCCTTAGATTTAGGCTTGATTGGTCATATAGTACCAGTGTCCCAGTCTGTGGAGAAATCTCTCTTACACAGTATCCCTGACCAGTTAAAATACCTGGGCTTGATAAAAAGTTAAAATTTCCTTTCTTTAGATAGAAAAGTTATCAAATTAAAAGATGTGTTCACTGAATACCACTAAATTTTAAAAAGTTTTTCTTATCTAAACCTCTTAATTCACCTGGTCTAACATAGTTAGCCTCCTCAGTGGCCAGCTCGCTCACTAGTCTTCATATTCTTAAGTCTATCCTCCACATTACCACCATATTCTTTGTCTAAAACATGTAACTCACCACATTGCTTCCATAGAACCTTTAGTAGTAGTTCGTGTCACCTTAGCGTAGCTTATAAAACTTTGCATAAGTTGATTCCCGCTTCTTTATTCAGCCTTACCTTTTGCCATCTACTCCAGGAGTACTAAACTCTTAAAATATCTACAAATTAGTATGATTCAGTCATTGTTGTTTCATGCCTCAGTGCTTTTGCTTAGGTTCTCCCCATTTTTGGAGATGGCACAGTTCACATAATATCCACTCTAGTCAGAAGTAACTTCTGGGTAGCTGGGCTCTGATCTTTTTCATCGTTCCCATTCTCCCTGTGCTTCCCTCTTTTAGCACTTAACCACACTGTGTCATGGTTTTCCTGGTGGCTCAGCAGTAAAGAATCTGCCTGCAATGCAGGAGACACAGGTTCGATCCCTGGGTCAGGAAGATCCCCTGGAGGGAGAGCATGGCAACCCACTCCAGTATTCTTGCCTGGGGAATCCCATGGACAGAGGAGCCTGGCAGACTATAGTCCATGGGGTCACAAAGAGTTGGACATGACTGAAGCGACTGAGCATGCATGCACACTGTGTTATAATTGCCTGTATTTTCTTTACCAGGGCTTCCGTGGTAGCTCAGCTGGTAAATAATATGCCTGCAATGCAGGACACCCCAGTTCAATTCCTGAGTTGGGAATATCGCCTGGAGAGGGATAGGCTACCTACTCCAGTATTCTTGGGCTTCCCTGGTGACTCAGATGGTTCAAGAATCCTCCTGCAATGCGGGAGACCTGGGTTCAATCCCTGGGTTCATTCCCCTGGAGAAGGGAATGGCTACCCATTCCAGAATTCTTGCCTGGAGAATTCCATGGACGGAGGGGCCTAGCAGACTACAGTCCATGGGGTTGCAAAGAGACACGATTGAGTAACTTTCACTTTCTTTCATTTTCTTTTTCTACAACTGGACTGTCAGGGCATGGCAGGGACTGCATCTTACATACCTTTGTATCCCTCTGTTCCAAGCTCTAGCATGTGTAAAGAAGCAGATGTTTGTTGACCTGCACAGGTTGTATTAGACATTTCCCTGGTGGTTCAGATGGTAAGGAATCTGCCTGCAATGCAGGAGCCCTGGGTTTGATCCCTGGATCAGGAAGATCCCCTGCAGAAGGGAATGACTACCCATTCCAGTATTCTTGCCTGGGAAATCCCATGGACAGAGGAGCCGAGTGGGCTATAGTCCATGGGGTCGCACAGAGTCGGACATGACTGAGCAACTAACACTTTACTTAGTCAAAATTAGTGACTGAACTTCATTGCTATTACTTTTCTTTCTCAGCTGAAGAAAGCAGTAGTAGCGACAGTATGTGGCTAAGCAGAGAACAAACACTGCACACCCCAGTTATGATGCAGACACCACAACTCACCTCAACGATTATGCGAGAGCCCAAAAGATTACGACCTGAGGATAGTTTCATGAGTGTCTATCCAATGCAGACTGAACATCATCAAACTCCTCTTGATTATAAGTAAGTACATTTGATCATTTTCTGTACTATAACTTTATTAATTACATAGAAAAAAGTTAAGTTAAAAGAAGAATAAAATTCTCCTTGAAGCACGCAGGTAACATGGATGTTAGCTCAAAGACAACAAGAGGAAGCAAGGCAGCAGCAGGAGAGAGCAGCAATGAGCTATGTTAAACTGCGAACTAATCTTCAGCATGCCATGTAAGTGAGAGTGCCTTATTGTCTGAGTCTAGGAAGTTCACTAATTCATTTTGACATATTTTATTGTGTGCCTTATCTAAAAATTTCAGCAAACTCTCTAGAGTAACTAAGCTGAAATAATCAAGGAGCTAAAAATTGGTCTTTCCAACAGAAATAAAAAAAAAAAACTTCTAAAGTTAAATATTGACTAGTTAGGTAAAGGACTGATATTAGGTTGATCTGTTGGAAAAGTTTAACTATGAATCCTTGTTTATTTTGGTACACAGAACTATAGCTAAAAATTCAGTTTTGTTACATCTTAATTGATCCCCACCTTAGTTCAGGCCCTCATCTCTCACCTGAACTATTGCATTAGCTTTCTAATTCATGTTCTTCCCTCAGATCTATTTATCCTCTCACCAAACCCCTTCCCTCACTCCCCTCACCACCACTCCATCATTCACTTGCCATCAAGAATTGCTATTCTAGAATAAAATCTGATCATGTAGCTCTCTTCCTTAAAACCATTCTATGGATCCCCATTGCCTGCAAGATACAGTTCAAACTCCTTAGCTCATGGCATGCAAAATCTTTCTAAATATGGCCCCTGCCTACATTTTAGTATCATATCCTATTCCCTGGCAGCTGGTAAAATCATCATAAAAGGACAAGCTCAGGTGTCACCTTATATGAAGCTGTGGTGTCATCTATGCTCCCATAACACTATGTTTATTCCTGTTTCTTATAGCACTTACCACATTGTATTGTGATTTGTTTATGAATTTGTCCCTTTCTCTAGACTGTGAGCTCCTTAAGGGCAGGGACCTCTCTTTCTCTTTTCTAACTTGAAAAGTATAGTTGATGTACAGTGTTCTCTGTTGCAGGTATACAGTTTAGTGATTCACAGTTTTTAAGGTTACTCCATTTATAGTTATTATAAAATATTGGCATTTCCCTGTGTTGTACAGTATATCCTTGTGTCTTATTTTATACTTAATAGTTTGTACCTCTTAATAGGGATTGCTTTCATTTCCTGTTAGTGCTTGGCACATTAAAAAAGTACTAAGTTAAATGTTCATTGAATGAATAAATGTCCAATGCTAAAAAAAACCAGTTTAATTTTCAAATCTTTGTTTTTACTGGAATCTGTATGAGAGTTTTATAAATCCTTATTAGCTTTGGCTCCAAGAGAAATGGCATATAAGCAGTCTTTAGATGACTGGTACGAAGGGGGAAGATCTGATGGTTTTGATTAAGTTTTTTAGTTTGAAAGCTTTGTATATGTAACATAATGTGGTATATGTTTTAATGCTGGAGATAGTGATTGTTACCTTACTTTTTAAATTTATATTTTGTTTCAATTTTGTTGGTTTTTGAATGATGAGAATTTGACCTATTTTTCTTAAGAACTGATCATTTACCTCATGAGTAGTAGTCTATTTAAATTCACTTTAGTTGTCTGTAGTGGTCTTAAAAACCTCAAACAGACAAGGTATACTTTATCACATCTGTAGATTCTGATCCTGTTAATGTCTACTATGTTCTTTCTCTATACTATCCCTTGATTCTGCCCCCTATTCTGTTTCTATAGCCACATTCCCTTTAACATAGGTTCTTATTTCATGCTGAATTCTACAAGTGATTTCTTAGCTTCTCACTAGTTACCAGTCCATACACTCCAGAATTCTGCCAGGCACTCATTTGGTCCATATGTCTCCCCTTAAAACTTTCCACCAGTGCCCATGATCTTCCACGGCATCTCATTATCATTCTTTTGTTTGTAGATTAATTGATTACTTTTTTTCTTCAAGTTTTATGGGGATATAATTGACATACAACACTGTATTAAGGTGTCCAGCATGATGATGCATCTTACATACATCATGAAGTGATTACCACAATAAGTTTAGTAAACATCCATCATCTCATATAGCTGTAGTTAGTTTTTTTTCTTCTTAGAGATACACTTCCCTAGGTGACAAATTATTCCAGTTAAATAATTATTATCAGAAGAGTCTTTTGGTTGTGTCATAAGTAGTCTGTCACCTGAGACTTTAAAATATTTTTGTTTTATAATAATTGTTCTGTAATGGTGTCTGGCCTATAACTGAAATACCTTCAAATTCTGTCTCTTAGTTTATATCACATATATCTTTCAAAAGCAGAATGAGTTTCTGGTTTTCTATAACACATGGTCCCCAAAGCACACATATCCCCTTCACAGTTGTTTCCACCAAATACAGTAAAATTGTCATTTATCATTTACTGTCCAGAACTCTTGAGAAACAGGGACCATCGTTAACATATTTGTCCACATAGCCTGAACTAGATATCATGTCTTGTGATCTTTGTCTTTTAAGACTCAACATAGTTTTGTGTAAATTGTAAGCAGGCATTCAATAAATAATTGATTGAGGGGAGGTGGAATCTTTACATGAGTGAGCAAAGAAAGAAATATTATCCAAACTGGGAAACAACGAGTCACCCTCAATTTCACTTATGTTGATTCCTTTATGCTGATATGGGCTAATTTGTGAACTTGAAATTTGAGTTTTTTCCTTATAATTATGTGATAATAGAATTTTTGGTCTTAATTTTTATTTAACTTTTCTATATAGGTCTCAGTTTTGAGTTTCATAGGATACAGAGTGCAAGTTTCACCATAAATGTTGCTCATTTCTTCCTGAAGCAGAATTAATCTCTTCTTTCAGTATATCTTTATAGCGCTTAATGCATATTTCTCTTGCAATATTTATCACTTTGTCATAATTAATTGTGTTTCCCATAGTAGACTGTGAGCTCCTTGAGGGCAGGAATCATGTCTTATTCATCTTTTATTTTGCATCCATAGGACACAGTCAAAGCCTGGCACATAGTAGGCACTATGTGAATGAGTGAGTGAGTGCCTGGTACATTTTAGGTACTGAGTGAATGTGAGTGATGGGTAAATTAATATTATATGTTCATGAAAATGCATATATTCTGAAAAAGTCATTTCTTTGGTCTCTTGTTTTATACTTGTTTATTAATTTGTACCCTGCCTACTTTCAAAAAGGATTTGAGGTATCTTGTCTGCTCCCATGTGGTAAATTCTCATTGAGCTTTTAAATGGGATATCAGAACTATCAAGCTAAATGTTTTGAAGTAATGTAGAATAAACATAACTCCTTAGCATTTTCAGACAAGTGAACATTGGGGTTTTGACATCATTGATGACATGATCAATGCCTAGTCATTTTCCCTGACCTTTAATTCCATCATTTTCCATTACATTTGAATAGAGAAAGCCACATAGTTGCTGCCAATGTATTACTAAGTTGTGATTTTGGTTGAGATCTTGACCTTTTTTGTATTTCTCTAGTCGGCGTGGTACAAGCTTAATGGAAGATGATGAAGAGCCAATTGTTGAAGATGTTATGATGTCCTCAGAAGGGAGGATTGAAGATCTTAATGAGGGGATGGATTTTGACACCATGGATATAGACTTGGTAAGATACAATGATTCTGTGAGGTTTTGTTTTTGTTTTTGTTTTTTTTAAATAAAAAGTTTTATTGGAGAAAAATAGAACCACCACGTACACAGGGAAAAGAGCACAAAAATTCAACTGATACAGAACTGAAAGTCACAACTACCCAATGTTGTTGGCGATTACTTTTCAATTTCTTAAATGGCTTCCATCAATTTTTTAAATAGCCTTGCCAATTTTCAGCTGAAATAGAATCACGTTTTCAAAAAATTAAGAGCCTCAGCGAAGGGACCAGCTTTTAAGATAACGAAGGTGACACCAAGAGTCTCCTAATAGGACCAATTCTACCGAAAAATTCCTGAAGCACATAACTACTGAGTCTGGTAGAACAGTAGCTCAGAGACCATCAGGGATTAGTTAGAACACTGACTCAGATGGTCCAGTATGCAGAGAGGGCAAACAAAAAAGCTGCATTTCCCTGTCAGATGAGTTCACATAAGAAAACCAAGGAGGTGCTAAGAAAATACAGGCAATGGCTGCTCAAAATAATTAAGAAGGCATTCTAAATACCACATATTATTAGACAACAGTGTGTAAAGTGATGCAATTAGAAAACAGGCAACTTAAAAAAAATATGGTCACAGGTCTTTGAGAACTCAAGAAAACAATCAATAGCAAACACAAGAGCTGAAAGTCTTCTCAGCTGAGGGTTGAAAGTGAAAGTGAAGTCGCTCAGTCATATCTGACTGCGACCCCGTGGACTGTAGCCCACCAGTCTCCTCCGTCCATGGGATTCTCCAAGCAAGAATACTGGAGTGGGTTGCCATTTCCTTCTCCATGTAAGGTTTTAAATTTAGATTTTTTTTTTGGAAATTAAATTGGATATTATTAGAGGAGATAAATACTTGCCATAAAAGTAAGTTTTGCAAAATTATTAAATAAAATAGTTGCCAGGAGTTTAGTTATGTGGAAAGGGATTGAGGAAGAGGGTGAGTCTGGTGAGGGTGTTAGATCCTAATTTAGATGGTAAACTTTCAGACTAATTTAGGAATATATAAAGGATATATTTTGCTTAATAGTATAATATCACATTATAATTTACCATGTATTTACCATTTATCAAACCAATATTTTATAAACATGATCTACTTTTTTACTGAGGTCAGTTTCCATATATCACAAAGTACTGATAAAATACTTAGACTTGGAAGTTGAATATATATGATGGTATATTCTCTCATAATAACATCATACATACAGTTAGGTCTTTATTATATACAAAATGATTCCATGTATGTCATTTTGCTACACAGCTCATTCAGCTTTGTGAGGTAGGTTGAAAGGATTGAGGATATTGAAGCTTAGACACCCTATCCAAAGAGACAAAACCAGTAAGCGGTAAAGCTGAGACTCATAAGCCAGGTCTTCTGTATCTCAGTATACTTGGTGTATTCTCCTTAAAGGGAAGAGATAATTAAATATGGCTTCTCTTCAGAATAATGTAATTCAGTGCCTTGAAAGGAAAGTGAGTTGAGAGAGACATTTCTAAAATAAAACAAAAAAATCCGTTTTCTAGTTTTCATCCATAAGAATAATTTTCCATGAATGAACTGCTTTTGCATTTTTAAACATTATGTAGTTTGAATAGATAGTACTTGAAATATTGTAGGGTGCCATTGCAACTACATAGGTCTCGTGAACACTTAATAATTTCAAGATTTTCAGTTACTATTTGGCTTATTACTGATATGGCAATTGTCAACTTCCCTCCTTTTTTTCCCCTTTAGCCACCATCAAAGAACAGACGAGAGAGAACAGAACTGAAGCCTGATTTCTTTGATCCAGCTTCAATTATGGATGAATCAGTAGGTTTAATTTAAATATGCCTCAAGATTGTAAAATCAAAAGTAATAGGCAGTCTCTGAGTGTGAGGTTGAAGAGCTTGGACAATACATTGAGAATGGATAAAAACAACCGGACAGAAGGAAAAGAGACAGGCAGGAGGGATTTCGGAGTAGAGTTGAGAAGGGGTCATGCAGTGGTGGTAACAGATTCAGGTGCCTTTGAATCCCTGGCCAACTGGGGCTTAAGTGTTGTGTTAAAGAATTTGGACTTTTCCTGTAGGCTTGAGTTATATCTGATGAAGGATTTTGAATGGGGGGGGGGCGGGCATGATCAGAATTGTGTTTCAGAAATATTTCTTGAATAGGATGAACTAGAAGAAAAATAACCATGATAGTCATAATATGAAGACATGGTGAAAAATAGAACTTGAACAAAGGCTTTGGTAGTAAAGAGAAGGGAGTTGAGATAATTAGTTATTGTTAGTTGTCAGTTCTGTTTCTTCTGTCAGTCCCTGTTGCCATATTCTCCCTGAGAATGCCACGGTTCAAATCTGTAGTTCCTCTCAGACATACTGTGCTCTCACAACTCCATGACCTTGTAAAAGCTTTTCTGTCAGAATTGCCCATTTCCTTTTCCAATTAGTGAATTCTTTGTTTCAGTGGTCAGTTCTGACATTACCTGTGGAGTTTTTCCTAACTTTTTAGATAGATACTTTATTCTCAGCTCCCATAACACTTGTACACACTTCTGTTTTGATAACTACCAGATTGATGTAGTGAAATAGGATATTACATTTTGCTCAATGATTGAACTCCAGGCAGTGATTATTTTATTCATTTTGAGAGTTTTGCCCAGCATAGAGGTGTTGAGCTTTATTTGTCAGCTTACTAAATTGGTTAAATGCCTGTCTAGCTCACTTTTTAGCATCTACCCAATTATGCTGCTTCTTCCTAACACCTGCTATCTCAGGTGACTGTTGTATCATCCTCCAAGGCCTGCCTTCTATGCCCGTATTTTTGCTGTTCTCTCCTGGCCCTCTCTTGCCTCATAATCTGCTGTCAGATAGCTCTTGGAAGAATTTTAACAAACGAACTTATGCTAACATACTTAAATTAATAGAGCTAGCTATTTGAGCTAAAAGATAATGTTTCATAGATCAGCAGGTATAGAAATCTTTGGACAAGGCACCTTGGGATCCTTGAAATCAGTGTTTGTCAATCTCTAAGGGACATATAAATCATGTAGAGATCTTATTAAAATGTAGGTTCTGCTTCAGTAGGTCTTAAGTGTGGTCTAATATTCTGCATTTCTAATACGACCATAATTTGAGTAGCGTAGGTGACCTCTGCCTATCCATAAGTCTATAGTTTAAGTGTATATTGAAGTATGTGGTTTCCCTGATAATCTAGGAGTATGTATCTTCCAGTTTGTTAAATAAAACATTTAGGTAGTGATTGTGATGAGGAATAAAAGAGAATCTTTCCAAGCATATGTGATGAAATGCATTAATTCAGCAGTTTAGTGAGTTGGAAATTGGTGCTAAAATGAATAAAATGCTCTCCCTGCTCTCAAGGGATTTGTATTCTAGTCCACCTCTACTATCACTTTGAGATGAAAAGGAATGGAAGCTAGTATTTGAAAACTTATGTGCCTGACATTGTGCCAGGCACAATTTAGTGGGATCCCACTTTTAAACTCAAGCAAACTTGGGCTGTAGAGGTGGTTTCAGTGACTTGCTGAGGGTTATACTACTTTAGTGTCAGAGTAGTAATTTGATCTGAGTTCCTTTTGATTTAAAAATCTTGTGCTGCCTCTGCTGTGTACTTCCCAGAACTAAAATCAGACCTTACCTCAAAGAAATACCAAGAAAAATTTTTTAGAAATTGTAATGATTAATACAGTCAAAATTGATATGGGCAGTTAGAGATCACCTTATTTTTTCATTTGTTCATCTAAAATCAGGAAACCTTTAGGCATTGTTTCCTTAGTCACTTACTATTGAATAGATTTGCCAAATGATGCTCTTCACCTTTTTTTCTCTACAGTAGTGGAACAGCATTGTATATGTATTTATATTTTTGACATTTAACATTTAGGGAAAACTATAATCTGAGTGAAGCCAAAGATAGGGACATAGTAATTGTTATTTATAGAAAAATGATGCCATTCTTGTGTTTATTGCATATGTAACAACTTAGAGGATGGTAGTTTTGCTCCTTTCCCTAAAATTAGGAAAAGGAGCACATGCATCTATACCTGTAGTTCTATACTATTACCACATGATGGCAGCAATCACATAACTGAGTGCTCAGTATCTTTAACAGTTCAGGTATCTTTAGAAGTCTTTGACCACATATGTATTGTAATACTATTAATACTAGTTTGTTTTAAAATTACATTAAACTTTATCTTATTATCTCAACAATACCTTAAATGGAATAACAAAATTTTAAATGTAAAAATCTGCGTTGGATTACATCTTTTTTTATTCAACCCTGTGATAATAGTCAACAAGACAATAATAAAACTAGGACTGTAGATTCTTTTATACCCAGTTCCAAGATTCACTAATTTTATGTGAAGTAACCCAAAGCATCCTAGTATAGATACTTTAGATTATTACTAAATAAATCCTAGATATATTTTCTGTAACGTTATCAGTGTGATTCAGAAGTGGCAATATGAAAATTCTGAGCAGATCAGTTTGGGGTTGCATATAATATTCTAGATTTATGATTTATTTAGTTTCATATTTGGTAACAGTGTCAACATTGGTATATGGTTGCTTTCTGCTATTAGTGGGCCAGTATTGCCTCGATGCACCAAAGCTGGCTGTTGGTACTTTTAAAGTATGTGCTTAAGTGGTTATTAATGTTGGCACCAGAAACAGGTAGCTTATGTTACCAGATAAAGAGAATATCACTAATGTCCTTCTTCTGTGTTGAGATTCTTTTATTAGAATTATCTGTAGTATAAAATTGGTAAAGGAAGGGTTTGGTATAATGGAGCTAATTTAATGTTCTAGTAGAAGAATCTCCTTTATAACCTTGTCTGTACAAACCCAGGAGGAGGGGAAAAAAAGATCTGTTCAGGCTATTTCTAGGTAGATACTTGGTTTGGAAAGAACTTGAGTTCATCTTCATGCCACACTCTACACTAAAACTGTCAATTAAGATTTTATCCTTTCTTTCATCATTAGATCTTCCATTACCCAGAGTCAGAGTGTTAGGCTAGAAGGGATTTTTAAACATTGCCTATCACCTAGGCCTCTTTGGAAACATTCTAACCACCCAGACTCTGACTCTTGAAGCTAAAAAGAAGAACACTTAACCTTGAGGGGTGGGGTGGGCAAGGGGCGAGTAGTGGTGTTGGTTTTGATGGATGACTGGTAAGAATGGGGTACATTAATCCTCTATTGTTCTCGTTACTGGGGATTCCAAACACTTTACTTGATGATTCGCTACATGGAGGCTGCAATCAGATAGATATTTGTTTCCTGGTCTGAAAATACATAGCTCCTTCAATTCAGATCAAAACAATTCGTGAGTTCTATGACTTTTGTTAAAGTGAGATTTAATTTACAAGTAAGTGCCCTTTGTAATCCCAGTCTTAGATCATTACCTCTGGCTTTAATTATCAGTTTTTCACTAGCTCATTATAGTATTTTAAAAATATTACTCAGTTGTCATAATAAGTGCTGGAAATTTAATTGAAGAGCCCAACTAAAAGTTGTAGCTTATTCTTGCTTAACAAATAAGAGGGAGTTGCTCCATTCATTACCTGCTTTTACTTTTTTAAGTTAGTGACAATGATTAGATTTTACCTAGCATTGTTTCCCCAGCTGAAATGTAATGGAGTGAAATATAACTGGAGTGGGTTGCCATTTCCTTCTCCAGAGTTCCCAATCCAGGAACCAAACCCTGGTCTCCTGAATTGCAGGCATATTCTTTATCAGCTGAGCTACGAGGGAAGCCCCAAAGTGTAATGAAAATCATCAATACAACTTTTTGCTCAGATTTTACTTTTGCTTACTTGATTTTTTAAAATTAGTAGACCTGTTCATTCAGTCCAGCTTTTCAAAAGAATGCTTCCTGTTTTCTGCATATTTATATTGTTCTTGGATGTTTTTGGTCTGTGTGTTCAAAACACTTTAAAAATGATACCCACTTCACAGTGCAGATGACTGAGTTTGCCAGACATTGTTGTGCCAGAAGTGTATGTCAAGAAGCACATTTACTTTTTCATTCAATATATGTTGGGTGCCTGTGTTCAGGGCATTATCTAGGCATTAGGGGTGTGTATAAACATATAAATGAGACATGATTTATGCTTTTAGTTATATTTATGAGGTAGGTAGGATTGTGATTAGGCCTGATGTTATTTCATAATTCTATGTTAATGGTAATTATAATTTTAGAATTATATATCTGAAAAGAGGGGGATTTTTCAAAGTGACCTTTAGCATGTTATTAAACTTAATATTGCCAAGTATTGATGTAATATATTTTACAAAGAAATGAATGACAATTTTAACAAGATTTTTTTTTCCCTCTCTCTCATTAGGTTCTTGGGGTGTCAATGTTTTAATACCAGTACACAATTAAGTCTGTGGTGAAGTCATTTTCTAAGTGGAAGAGGAAATTTTAAAATAAAGTGTGGTAGATACAGTGAAATTCTGTACAGATTTTTCTCTAAGGAGAATATGACGTGCTTATACTTACCAAGATCAAGTGCATTTGAGGGGCAGTTTTGTTTGCCTGAAAAAAGTAAAGGACAAGTAAACAATTTGATGATAAGCTACAGTTTTTCTTAGAAAGTAAATATTTTATTTATGCGCTGTTAGTTGGCTTTTGAATCAATTATTTCATGCTTTTTTTAAAGAAACTATAACAATCTGAAGAGGCATTTGGTACAGACGTGAATCCTCTTACATTTATTTACTGGGTGTACTAAGTAATGATGACCTCTGCTGGATTTCTGTTTACATCCAAGAAACAAAGTTAAGGATGAATTTATTCCCCTGCCCTGAAATTATAGGATAGAATTGTTTTTAGCATTCTAAATTTAAATGCTTGAAGCATCAATCAACGAGGCTTTCTTTTAAATATTGTAATTGTGGAGAAAAGTAAACTTATAAGCAGAACTTTTACAATTTTTTCATCTAAAATGTATTTTAAGATATTTTTAAAATCCAAGAGCTTCTCTATACTTTTCAGAAATACCCAGATGCAGTGAACTGCCAGAAGGTAACCAGTCTCAAACATGCTTATCCCATTATCAACCCTGAAAGTTTGCTTGTCCTTTAAGATAAAAATGTAATGTTGTGATATTCCTTCCAGTAGTGCCACTGTATTTTGTCTCCAAATAAAAGAAGCTTATTGTAGTATGTTTGCAGAAAAATTCTAAACAAAAATTATACAGCTTATTAGAGTGTGGGAATAGGGATCTAAATTTTAAATAAAATTATATATATATATAAATTGGTGCTGATTTTATAATTGCGCAGTTTGTTTAGTTTTTTCTTACTTTTAAATTCCAACTTAAAATTATGAGGTTTCAGAAATATATTGAAAGTTTAACAATGTTTAAAAATAGAAAAGCATGAGTGTTCATGCTTTAAAATGATTTTTAAATTTGTATTTTATATTGTTTTATCTATCTGTCTTTGCAAGCAGTCTTCAGGTTAAAGATACTTCTAACAGGTTACAGTACATTTCCTCTGTATGTAAATTAGATGGGATAATAGAATTCATAACCCATAATATTCTTTGAAAGCTAAGCTTTAAACTTCATTTTATGTCCTTTCACAAATGAATTAGTTTAAAACAGAAAGTGGCTACTTGCCATTTTGACATCAACTCATTTTGCGAGGCTTAGGCAGCTAGACATCGTTTAAAACAAAATATTAACTTATATTACATGTGTATCTATCTTTTGTCAGTCGTCTCTCAGTTCTTGAGGTATATTATTTTAATCATTCCATGCCTTAATATGCTTGCAATACAAGAATATCTTCAGATGGGTGAATACCAAAAGGCTTCCAGTTTTTAAGAGTCAGAAACCAACAAGCATTGGGCTGTGGTAGCCAAAAACCATAGGTTAGCTAAAAGATCATGATAAAATATACAATTATTTTATTAAATCATGGTTAATAACAAATGAAATCAAGACATGTCTAACAGATTTTCCATCAACAAATATTGTTATGTGCAAAAGTATTGCCTATGTTGTTTTTCACACCACTGCATTTACTAGAACTGCTGAGAGGACTGTATATATGATTTTAAACCTAAGTTGATTTTTTTTCCTCACTCTTGAAAGGAGTACTTCTTTGTGAAAGCAGTTCTTACAGCTTTGTTTTCAACCAGCTAAAAATGTTTTATATATTACTCTAACCTGTTGTCCTCCACATTCTATTGTCCTAATTGTACTGTTTTCTGATTTGTATTTATGTCTTGAGACAGTAACTTTTTGAATAAAAATAAACCTACAGTATGTTGTATGTTTTATCTTTTGTACTTGAAAGAGGAGGGTGGCTATAAGCGGTTAGAAAGTGTACCTATTATCACATCTTTTAACATGTTTGGGTGGGAATAATTTATAGAAAATATTGCCATTTTATATTTTTAATAAATCATATGTATTTTTAAATGAGACTAAATCCCTAATTGGGTTATTACTTTAAAGTAGAAACCTATGACCATTATTACTTTATTTATCTGGTGTGAGTTAAATGCTCATTAAAATACCTGCATTGTTCATCCAGGATACATTTGAGTGCCCACTGTGTGCTGAGGCATGTGTTAAGAGATCTAACAGCAAACAAAATAGACAAGGCCCCTCCTCCATAGATCTAGTGGGGCAAACAAATATGGAAAGAATCAAATAAAATAATTAAGCTTATTACATAATTAGTGCTAGGAAGGAAACCAGCAGAGTGTGCTGAGCTAGAGAGAGACAGAAAAGTGTGTGTGTGTGTGTGTGTGTAAAACCTCCCTTAGGTAATGGATTGATGTTTGGAGGTAAGTGAAAGCCCATATTTGAGAAAGAATATACTAATTGAATTCCTATTGAAAACTCTTAATGTTCAGCATGTTAAGATTTGCGTTGTTCTCTCTTTTTTAAAAAAATTTTTGGCCATGCTGCACAGCTTGCGGGATCTTCGTTCCCTGACCAGGGAGTAAACCCACACCATGGCAGTGAAAGTGCCAAGTCCTAACCACTGGGCCACCAGGGAATTCCCTGCATTGTATTCTTCTTTTTTCCAGCTTTATTGAATTGTAATTAACATACAGTACTATCTAAGTGTAAAGTGTACAGCATGAATATTTGGTACATATGCATAAATTGTGAAATTTACAATAAGATTAGTTAACATGTGTCACCTCATAATAATTGCCATTTTTTTGTGTATATGGTGAGAACATTTAAGATCTACTCTGTTAACATTCACATATACAAAACAGTATTAACTATAGTCACCTCCCTGCATTGTACTCTTAAAAATGATTCATATCAATGTAGCACTAGCACACTGGTCATTTAGGCTAATTTGTAGATCATATTATAAGCCCAGTCTTCTGCCATTGGTGATACAGAACTGAACATAATAAATGTTAATAGCTGGGCACTGTTTGAAGTGGTTTACATGCAATACCTTATGAAGGATCACAACAGGTGACACATTATCATGCCCCCTCTCCCTCCCCCATCTCCTTTTAATTTATTTTTTTAATCAAGAGGCAGGAAAACAAGGCACAAAAAACACCTTGGGCAAGGTTATATGGCTAGTACATGATGGGGTTGCCACTCAAGCAGTCTGGCTGCATTAAGTCCTGGCAGCATTGAAACGATTCGATACATAAGGATAGCACAGATAATGGCATAAATATAAAATGGCACATTACTCATTGTTCCATGGTGAGGAAATGGGACTTCTTTAAGGAGTCTGGCTGGCTATAGAACTGAGTAGTATGACTCAACATAGTCCTATAATATGCTACCCAGCTGACTTCTGTGAAGAGTATGAATTAAATGAGTCTATCAATAGTTACTAATTAATAGTTTTTAAAGGTGAGAGACTGGGGAGGAGGAATAGGATTAACCAGAAGGGATGGCTTCAAAATCTTGGCAAAAAGGAAGTTTGTAAGGATTCACAGAGATGAGTTCAGGTCAGATAGATTTTTCTGGAAGCTGTAATGATTCAGCAAAAGAAAATGAGCCAAAAAACTAGAAGTTCACTAAGCATCACTTGAGGTCAACAAATCTTACTATCTACTGTGTGCCTGGCCTTGTGCTGGCTGCTGAGACCAATAAGAGAGGCTTTGTTTTCAAGTTAATTATAGTTCTGCTGGGAGTTGGTATGCAGATTCAGAACAAATAAAATGGGGGTGAGTTCATTGTTTTTACTGGGTGTTATGGGAGCCCAGAGGAGGGGCACCTACTGTGGATGCCCTCTGGGAGGCTTCATGTAAAGCTGACACTTGAATATTTTCCCCAGCATTTTACTATTTATTTTTCACAGCAATGCTGAATTTTACAGCAAACATATTTTACATTCTTGCTTTGCCATATATCCATGTATTAATGTTCTTTTTATGTTAATTTAGAAGTAAATTGCGAACATGTACACTATGCCCTAAATATTTCGGTATTTATCATTAAGAGTTTAATATTTGCCGTGTTTTCCTTTTGGTGTAAAATTTATGTGTGATAAGATTCACAAGTTGTAAGTATATATTTGGTGACTTGTAACAAATGCTTACAGCTGTCTAACCCAAACCCCTATTGAAGGTACTGAGTGTAACCATTAGTCCAGAAACTTTGTACTGCTTACCAAATCAATCTCTGCTTTCATCCCTTCTCTCTACAGAAGCAACAACTGTTGTTTATCTTTCCACCATAGATAAAACTTGACTGTTCTAGAACTAGATATGAATGGGATCATATAGTATGCTTTTGTATAAGGTTTCTCTCAGCCTGTTTTCAAGGTTTATCCATATTGTGTGTTGTGCTGTGCTATGCTTAGTCGCTCAGTCATGTCCGACTCTGCGACCCCATGGACTGGAGCCCACCAGGCTCCTCTGTCCATGGGGTTCTCCAGGCAGGAATACTGGAGTGGGTTGCCATGCCCTCCTCCAGGGAATTGTCCCAACCCCGGGATCGATCACAGGTCTGCCGCATTGCAGGCGGATTCTTCACTGTCTGAGCCGCCAGGGAAGCCCATCCATGTTGTGTGTATCAACAGAGCTTATTTGTTCAATAGTTAGTGGACATCTCGGTTGTCTCCACTTTTTGACTGTTACGAATAAAGCTGCTACTTGAGTTGGATTTTAAAAGCTGAAAGGTGAAATGGGGGCAGAGTGACCAAGGCCAAGAATTCCAGGCAAAGGGGACAGCATAAATAACCATAATGGACAACTTTGTAAGCCACCTATACTTCAGATTCTTAAAAATCACCATCATGGATATAAGAACTATTTAGTAACCACTTGGGGGGCGGGGTAGGGCAAACTGGAAGATAGTTGGCTACCCACTACCTCACATCAGCTTTAAAAAAGAAAAAGGGTGTATTCACAGTTGTACCT